CTTCGGGAATCAGTAAGTTTCCGCATAACTGAGCAACCCAAGTGGATGCCTATTCGAGTGGTGCCGCTCACAGTAATATAGATTTACGCAATCAGAACTAGATACTGTGGTGCAAGGGAATAAACATTTGAAGAGCTACAGACCAATGGCAATGGGTTCTCCGAACTGTTCACGCTAAAAGGTACGCGGCATCATCAAGGAGACATATTCCCCGTTAAGTGAGGTACTAGAGAAGTCTGTCGCATAACATTGTTGTGAATGTGTTCACTTTAAAGTCAATAAGTGAGCTGATCCCTTGGATTTCATTGTCTGTCCACGTTTTCATGGACGTCATGACCGTCCAGAAATTTGGGTAATTCGGTGATTGGCAAATGTTCATACGGTCAAATGAGTGAATGGGACTGGTAATTCTTACTTAACTTACTTAAACTGTCAAGGGCCCTTCGCTCTTCAGCCAGTGCTTTCACTCGGTGTCTTTCTTGAAGTGAATGGAGTGTCGTATGTATCTGATTCGGTACATGAGGTTCTTTCAAAACAAAGTGCCTCTTCTTAGTCTTCTCAGTTTGCGTCGAGGTTTCCTATCGATGCATAGAGTTGCCTTCAGTCCGAGGTCGGTGGGCGCAATCGTGTCCAGGGCGGAACCAATAATCTTGCTAAATTTGTCGAGGGTTTGACACAGACTACCGCCAGTGAAGAAGTCTTCCCTATCGGAGCATCTTTCGAGTGTTTCGAGGAGCTCCTAGTCAGCGTTCGTGATGTCACTGTATTGGTAGTACTTTGGTGTTACTTCTTGTGCGCCCTCGAGACCTGCTAGAAGTTGTAAAGCGCAAGGCAATACGCCTTGACCGCTACCTGTAAATTTTCCTCTTAAACGTATGGACAATGGCTCAGTGTTGTGACAAAGTATCAGGTCAAGGATGTTACTGCTTCGCGTGGGGGATTACACGTATTGCTGCCAACCGTTTGTGTTTGAGTGTGTTATGGTTTATGAGACCAGTGAATATGTTCCAGTCCACTCCAAGGATGTTTAGGTCACCGCAGATTATCTTGAAATCGAAGTCGAGAGGCGGCGTGCTCGAATGTTTCACAGATGATCTCATCATCAGCTGTTACAGTGTTTGGTCTCCTGCCTAAACATCCTATGAGGAGCTTGTGTTTACCCATCCACATTCAGGATCTCCGTCTAGTTCAGTATTTGAGGGGGTGTCAGCAATGGCAGTGCTTGACGCATACATAAGACATCCACCTCCTTTTTATGGGCTCTGTCGTGTCTGTGTACTCTGTATCCATCGATTGCAATATTTGCCTCTGACATATCTCAGATTAACCAGACCCCTGTAGCCAGAACCGGTGTGGGTGGTTTTGAAGTGTTAGGGTTCGAAGGGCTGATACTTTCCTCGCTATGAATCGCGCATTAATGACTAGTACTGCTGGATACAAAGGGTATTGCGAGAGTAAAGGGAGAGGAATGAGCTTATTACTCACTACGGCTTCATTGGTGTGCTGACATGTATCTCAGTGTTCCCTGCCCGTTTCAAGATGTGTTGCGCATGAGTTGCAGGTGTTCTGCTTCTTGTTGTCACTGGCAAGTATGACAAAGCAAGGTGATGCTGTTCGGCATATACCTTATTCCAGGCTTCGCTGCCGGTTGTGGTGTTATTGGGGAGGCAGTAAATGGGCTCGGTGATAGGAGAGGCGGATAGCGGAAAAAACTAGGCTGCATATTCGTGCTGTCAGGGATGTGGTGATTTTGAGACGCAAGATGGTTCATCTGTGAGTTGTACGTAGTGTACAGTCCACTATTAGCATTTTCTTTGCGTCCTGGATTCTGTGCTACAGACCAATATCGACGCGTTGTGTTATTGCGCCCATTGTCCTTAGGATTCAGATTCGAAATTACGTTTGTGGAGGGGGGCTTCATCCGATCCTTCCCTTGGAACGCATTTCTGCTGCCCGCTATGTATCAAGCGCTGTCAGTAGAGGCAGTCCCCTTTGGGGTCATAGTGGTTTTATCCGCGGCGATATTTTCATTTATCACAGTATATGAGTTCATTCTGCTGGTTTTTGGCCTCTTGAAGCCCCTATTTCCAAAGGAAGCAGTCTGTTTTGGCATATAGGGTTCATTATTATTGGTACCTGTTTGTGTTTCCTTGTTGCTACGAGGTCTAAACTTGTGTGTTGTTCGGTTAGATGGGGGTGAGTCTAGGTCCATAGATAGGGCGTGCCTGTTACTATCGCTAGGCACACGAAGTATTTTTTCTGCTTGAGTGGTGTGCGGACTGAGGGGTGCTGTACTCTCGTGAGTTCTGCATTTACTACCCGACTGCACTGGCTAGCTGGTATCCTCTTGCCTGGTTTTTCACACTGGTAGCACCCGGCGTAAAGCCTTTAGAGTCAGGTGTTTTACCGGGACAATGTTGGACGAGAACATCATATTCAAATGTGTCACTTACTTCCTCCGTGGTGGACACACTGTTGTTGATGCCACCCTGCGCCTGCATTCTTCCTCTAAAGTGGGGCCCAATCCTGAGCTATCTTAATATATCTAAGCATATTTTCGAACTAAAGACTATTCCCCAGCGAAAAATTGCTATCAGTCAAGGGGTGATATAAACTGGAATAAGATGGGGCCTGCACATTGTGAAACGGCCTTCCGAATCTTTTTAAAACCACAGGCGACTCGCGACATACTATGGGCGTCTCAGACCATAGCTTAGGCATTTTTTTGTAGACAATGGTTTTTTGTAGCGATGCAACTTGTTGTATTACTTCCGAGGCGATGTAGTCGATCAGAGCTTCAGCCTTTCGTACTTCCTCAGTGTCTACCGAAGGGACAAGTCGCTGGTGCTAGCTGCTCGAGTGCAGAGCAAACTTCAGTTAACATTATGTTAAGCCTAGTAATTTTAACTACAATGGAACTGCCTGAATTATTGGGGTTATGCCTGTGGAAGGAGTTTGCGACCTGTTCAGTGGGTTTTGAGGCTGCTTCTTCAACAGATCTGCGCCGCATCCATTTTTCTTGTTTAAGCCATCTGTTCGGGGTCTGAGTCCTATTACTGCGTTGGTGTTTGGATACTCTGGGGTGGGCATCTCACCAGGGAAATGTTTCTACAGAATAGTAATTGACTTGAGGTAGTCGAAGGACCACAGCCAACTAGTTTATTACACAGACAAGTGGATACCAAGGACAAACCTAATAACTGATCCCCGGGAGGCCGAGGATTCGCTGGGAATTAAGGTGCATATTTATGATCCCCAACACTTCGCTCGACAGGAATTTCATCCTGTGACCGAGTGAAGTTACCTTGTTTAGAATCGAGGACCCAGTTAGCCTTACTTCTTTTGCATTCACGGGGAAGTTTTCTTCCCTGAGTATTCTAAATGGTAGAGGTCTCCAGATGCAATCGATGTGCACTGACAATTCGCCCGGGCGTTATCGAAATCACGCTTGCCATTGAGTCTGTGATGTTTGCATGTTAACCTGACCTAGACCGCTGAAGGTCTCTTAGATCTTGGGATATCACTTATCTCTCACTGTACCATCCTTCTCCGTGTCCCTGCTTGCGAAAAATGCAGACTGTTATGGAAACTTTGTACTAAGGTATGCTCATCGTTTCAAATGTACATCACTTTACACAGCGGTGTTATTTCCCATTACTCTAACTTCATGTGGCATTGATCTTCAAGCTGCACTGTCGAAGCGCGATCTATGTCATGACAGCTGTATGTAATACTTCTAAATAATATTTTTAATTGGTTTCGTCACTACCGTAACATATGTTTTGTTACGGTCTCGTTGGTTTACCGCCTGCACGCTTTTCATTTTATGTAAGTTACATTTTTCAGTATACACGGTTTGGGTCGAGCCCACTTGATTCCTGAACTAATTTGTAGTTACCAGTGGTTGGAGTACTTGGTCAGCTAGCTTCAGTAGGTTTTTCAACCATTCTGCCCGACGACAAATCTGTTGAAGACAACAGGATTGATGGTTTAAACATGTTATTAGTCAGCTGAAGGCTTTAAGGGAGACGTTTATGCGGAATTTAAGGCTCTCAAAACCTGATCGTTCGTAGGTTTGCTCCCAGACTTCATGTCCCCTTTCCCTTCACGCACCTCACCAACCTGAAAACCTTAAAGTTGCGTCATCATTTATAAAATAAATACGTGATGGAGTGCTCCACTTAAGTTGATAAACAACTTCACGCGGCAACTTTTCTCCTGAAATAACAACCCGATTCCTTTACCCTTTACCACTAAAATATCCTTCTTTTTCGTGAATCCCAAGTCTTCTCTCCTCCCAGGTTATGACATCCCACATCAGTAACATAAATTTTAAACTCACCCCATGATCTTACTCTATTTATTGAGGTTCTTCTTGCCCTTCGTTCTCCTTTCTTTTCATTTTGCATTGTTTTTTTCTTCTCTCTTACTCTCCCTCAATCTCGTTGGACGTCTTTTCTGTCTTTCATTACTGCCAGCCCAAACAACTGTCTGGTGACAAGAAACTTGAAGAACCCACCTGCCGTGCAGTCCTTGGAGAAATCATACAATCCCTAGAAACTTAACCAGCATATAACCACCCGTCATGCTAACCATAGCTGCCAGTGGGTAAATGGACTGCATCAGAACCTACCAAAGAACTGGAACGGTTCCTCAGGGCCTAGAAAAGAACGAGAAGAAATCAAATGATTTACAGTAGTTCTCAAAAAGGTTGTGAATACTGGATATTACAATCAGCATGCCTCAAAACTAGGTTCAAATATCGACACATTCATCTAAACACTACTAATTTTCTATCGCCTTACTTTATCAATGTACCCAAGAGAAGCAATATGTTCACAGGTTTACGTACTATAGGTATTAATGCAGATCGGATGACCTACTGTCGTTGTCACAAAGAGTTCGCAGGCTAATGTACTTTATAATTGAACAATTGAATGTAGGTGAGGTTTTTTGGTTCAAGGTCGTCGCCCTTTAGATGATTGGATAATCTTTCCCAAATGGTGCACTTGGCGCCAGGGGTGAAGTTTTTTCAGAGATGGCTCCCGCCTCTGAACTCGAAAACGTAATAATTCCTTATGACTCACTCTAAGATTCTAGTGGTCGCGTGCATGTGTTCTTCTTCACCTTAGTAATTTACACGGGCTACCACCTCTCCAGGAAACCAATTAGTATTGTTAAATCAGTACTTCATGGCAATTGTTCTGAAGAGGCTCGTAGGGAGGGGAAGAGCATAGTCCCTGAGAACGAGACATTCTGTGACTGGGTACCATTTGGTATGTTCTCATCAACTTAAAAATATCTTTAATGCTATATATTTATTTGTCCTCTCTTAGATGGTTTGAATTACGACTCTCTCTTCGGAACGCTCGATCTCATTTTCCTTTCTTTCTATGCTGCCAGCATGTTCATAAGGTAAGCTGATGATTGTCAGTTGTCTATTCGTAAACAAACTTAAAGGTGTTATCAAACTTAGTGTTCAGATCTGATTTTTGTATATGGTTCCAACATCAGCAGTGCAAGTAGAGAAAACTTATGGTTTTTGAGCTCTCGCTTCTAGGTCTTGAGGCTCTGTTCTTTTTGTTCGGTTGTACTCCGATGCATCAAAGTCTTTGCATCTTCCTGCTTATAGCCTTGGAGGTAGTGATTGTCTAGTTGGAGGTAGTTTATTTGCAAATTGTAGCCTGCTTTGTTTTTTTTTTGGGGGGGGGGGGGACAACAAAGCTGCTGACGAAATCAATCAACCGTTTGCAATTCCTGTTGTTGTAGGCACCTGCAGGTAGGTATTAAGCGGTACTTAAAAAGCGATAGAAACAGGGTGAGTGGGGAATGAGAAAAAGAGGAGTGAAAAGTACTTGTGAAAGGATAAATGTAGCTGGTAATAATATGGGGGAGAGGTTCGTCTTATTACAGATACTAGGGTTGGGGGATCCAAAGGTGGAAGTGTGTATAACCAGTTGCTACTGACAAATGTTCGTGGTAAGCCATTTGCGCTCACATGCTCATTGAGTAGTCGTTTGAAAGAGTTGACTGATGTGGTTGTGGTCACTTCCTTCGACACAGCGTTCCATAAGGCACATTTTCTATGAGGGAAGTTATATCTCACCCTCATCCTTGCCGTATGGTGGGATATGCCATTGGGGTTCCCACGGGACTGTCGGTTTTGGACCGATAACGTTGTCCTATATGGGTGGTCCACTTGGTGAACGATCTTGTAGGCTGTTATCAGGTCATTTCGTTGCCTTCGACAGCTTAGTGTGAACAAGTTGAGCAATTCGTCTGAGACGTTGCGCAAATGTTCTGCCTGTTAGTCGGACAACCGACTTTGTTGCTCTTCTCTGTACCTTCTGGAGAGTATTTACGTCTCTTTAGTAGCGGGTGCGGAGGCTGTCGTATTGAACACCTCTAGGTGTGGTCTAACATAGGTTTTAAATACCATAAGGAATAATCCTGGGGTTAACGATCCAAGCTGCCTTCTTAGAAAGTGCATAATGGTGTTCACCTTTGCTGCCATTCCCTTACAAATGCCAGTAGTATCTAGTGTATCAGAAAAGTTTGGCCATGGGTCCTTCTATGTGGATACCTTGGTGATTGCATACTTGTTAAGAGTGTAGCTAATTTTCATCGCCTCTGGTGTACGAAGATACATAACTTTGCATTTCTTCAGGTTAAAGCTTAAGCCGTTTGCAGCTGACCAGGACTCCAGCCACAGCAGGTCGTTTCGGAGAATCCTAGGGTCCTCTTCGCCACCTATCATCCTCCATATTTTGATGTCGTCGGTAAACAGGAGGATGGATGAGGAGATTTTAACGGGGTCATTTATGAGTAGTAAAAATAGGAGTGGCCCAAGTATCGCTCCTTGAGAAACTCCTGTTCTTGCATCCCTCCAGGTCGATCGAATTTTGTTTACTTTGGTGCAGAGTTTTCTGTCCTCTAGGTATACTGTAAACCATACTAAGAGCGGTTTAATGATACCCATTTTTGCAAGCTTGGCGAGTATGATGCAGTTTGGGACGCCATCGAAAGCTTTGGCCAAGTCCAAGAAACTAACGTGAACTGGTTGATTGTTGTCCCATCTAATGGTCCAGTCATCCCAAGCAGTCATCAAGTTTGTGGCACATGACCGCCCGGTTCTGAAGTCATGCTGGGTGAGGTGAACGATGTTGTTTCTTTTCAGGTAGTCCAAAACAACATCTGGAACCAGGCTTTCCAGTACCCTGGAAAGTATGGAGAGTAATGCTATTGGTCTGTAGTTGCACGGGTTTTTCGGTTTCCTCCCTTGAAGATAGGTGAAAGGGTGGCGCGTTTCCATTCTTTGGGGAGTTGATTTACTTCCAGCGAGTGCGTGAACAGATTGCATATTGGGTATGCTTAGCACTTCGCACAGTTGCGTAGGACCGCCGGTCTTATGTCATCACAACCCGGGGACTTTCCTATTCTCAGTGTTGAAAGTGTTGCAAACACTTGGGTTGACGAAATCTTTACGTTCATCAGCTTCGTATCGCAGTCCTGGGACTTCGTTACCTTACTAGATGTTGATAGTGGATGTATTACTGGGTTGAGCTGCTCGTCAAATCGACTGATCAACATTTCCGCTATCTCACTGCTGTTCAAAGGTTCTCCGGCCGGCCCTGTGACTAGGTTTAAACCCTTATTCGTCGATTTGCGTTGTGACATAAACCAGTACAAACTTTTCGGATTGTAACTCAACTGTTTAGCCAGGTTGCTCTGGTATGTATGTCTGTCATTGCGAATTCTTATATTACATAAGTTGCGTAATGTCTTGTAGCTATGAAAGTTTGATTCTTTGCGTAATGTACGCCACCGACACCATGCCTTCTTTTTCCTATGTATCAGCCTTTGGGTTGCGCGAGTTACCCAAGATCGTTTAAGAGGTGGCCGTCTGGTTAGTTTTGGAACACTCTTATCGATAGCGCTCCAGATAATATCTTTAATATGTATCCAGTGTTCGTCTATCGATAGTGAGTGCCATTTTCGTGACCATATAGACTCCAGGAATTCGTTGTTCGTGAGATGGTAATATGCTTTTCGGTAACAGCGGAACGCTTCTGGCTCAGCTATTGGTAGTGTCTCCTTGGTTATCAGAGAGAATCTCACCAATGCGTAATCGCTGTTATCTAAGGGGGGTTGGTCACAGATATCGTCCACCAAAAGATCATCGTCTGTTAGAACGTAGTCCAGTGGTGATCCTTTTCCGTCTGGTCCCCATCTGGTGTTTTTCCCAACCTTCTCTATTAGTCCTGCTGCCATGAACGTATTTCAAAGTTTGTGTTCGAAAGATTTATGTCCTTATCTTACTTCACATCCCGGGTTGAGTGCCGGTGTGTTAAAGTCTCCAGCTCGGACTACATGGTCATAGGCTGCCGAGGTGGTTGTTGAAATGGCACTGAGCATTTGTGCCTTATGCTCTGTCGTGCAGAGGGAAGGCCTATATATCACTCCTAATAGGTACTTGGTTTAGTTTGTGGTAAAATAACACCATAAGGAGTATGGTAGTAAGCTGAACACACCATGAGTCGCCTCCTTGACTTTTAGATGAGCACCAATATACATGGCAACTCCTCAGCCCTCTTTGAACTGCCTGTCGTTTCGGAACAGGGTCATGTTAGGCAAAGATATTTCCTCAACCACGATGTCTGCTGACAGCTACGTCTCCGTGATGAGAATAAAATCTGCTTGCATGTTATAGCACATTGTTTTTAGCTCCAGTAGTTTACTCCTAAGACTTCTTACATTGCTGTTGAAGCATGTCAAGGAGCTACGTTCTGGGCTTAGTGCGATATGGGGACTTCTTTAGAGGCTGGTATGCCGTTGCCATCGGATTCTGACTGCCAGTTCCTACTATTCTCATTGCTAATTATCTGGCGCGAAAGTGTCACCACAATGAACAGCTTTCCACATCGGTAGTTTATTTCTGGCATACAAGTGAGACTCACGGGTTACAAGCAGAGCTTTTACAGTTATTTCCAGCATACTATCCAGTCTTCGGCATAGTTTACGTAATCACTTGCTACAAACAACAGAAGCCATAAACCTCTACAAAACAAATTTTCGCATCCTGACGAAATTTGTACAGCCTCTGCCACTACCTTTACCATCGGAGTAAATTCATTTAGTTTTTTCCCTTTAGTGAATTAAGATTTATGAAAGAACTGCTTGTTCTCTCGAGGTCCTACCATGCTAGGAGGGTCTGTGATAGGACGAAAAACCATTGCTGTTGTGGCGTAACTTGCTACACTATGATGCGAGTCTGAGGGCAAAGTCGTACTGCTGTTTGAATGTGTGACGAAAGTAAGATGTTTCCCTTGGATGACTAGCAGTGCCATGCTAATGCTACCTTCCCTGTGAAAGAGAAGGGGTTCGAAAAGGTTGACCCCCCAAATGGCCCACTCCTTCCTGCCCCACGGTCTTCAGGTGTCAGTAGTATACGTCTTCTCTATCTGGCATTAAAAAATCCGAAAACAGCAATCCACGAAAGAGTGTATGTGACGGGCCTCAAGCAGATGTCCTATGGGTTATGTGGTCACAAAAATCGTTTTCTTGTTCAGAAGCCTTAAGAAGAAATAGCCTTCCACGATGTGACCAGCCGGGAAGTGTCAACCACCTGTACGCTTCACCAACACAGTAAAAGAGATACAACAACCTCACATGGGTCCCAGAGATTTTGACAGCTATCTGTCTCATTGACCAGGATCATTTTGGCAAATTATAGTGTCTTTTATGCGATTTCAGATGGTATTTCTTGGCATATGCTACGAAAACTAGCATAGGCCCTGTTTTGTGGTATCATCACGTGAGCAACGCAGAAGTCAGGTGTAGAGTCTTAGGCAGGAGAAGTAAGTCAGTTGGTGCTGTTGTGAACCTTCATCGACTGAGATGGCTGGTTAGGATATATTATATAGTACGTATGCCTAGCCACCATCTGCTTCGTTGCACAGTGTTGGCCGAAGTAAGTTCAGGTAGGGCGGCCAGTTTAAAACATGGCATCAATGCATGAACTCGCTGACTGTTCGTTTAAGCCATGTAGGGTGACACGGACGGGCTGGTTGGGATCAGCGGGAGAAGAGAAACCAGTATTTGTAGACTTGGCGATATGGCTGGGAACCGACGTCAATAGCGCAGACTCATACACACATCTTTACACTAGTCGCCAGACTTAATCTCATTATCTTCTCATTCCTCCTTCTTCTCTTCTACTACTTTCTACTTCCTTTGGTCGAGTTTTCTCTCCTCCTTCATCTTCTATTTTATTGCCTTTTCACTTGATGTGATGGTATGATGGGGTGTGGTAACTTGGATCGTTACGCAGTAACGCCTGGTCCCATGTTGATCTTGATGGCGATGATGCTACGAAGGCAACGATATTCAAATATTTAAAGCCTTCTCATATCCTCTACCTTTAGTGGCCATGTTTCACCGCCATATTGTAGGACAGCGAAATACAACACAATACACTTGACCCGTAGTAGACAGCCAGATGTCACGGCGGTGCCACAGATGGCATAATTTGACGAAAGCCAATAGACTATGGTCCTGTTTGTTTGTCACAGATTATACTTTCATTTACTTATTATTCAGAATTAAATATAAAAGCTATATTATACTTAGAAAGTGTATTTTCACCCATTTTATTTCCTTTGGTATATCAAATTTCTCTTAAAGCGGACATATTGCGGATAAAATCGATTTGAGGATATACTTGTGTATTGGTACTCTTTTGTCTGGTGTAACAACAATTGCTTTTGGTCTTGGATACTTCTTCAACATTCACTCATTTGCATATTATGCAATTGTTCAAGTAAGCAGCCATAAAGTATAGGTGTTAAAAGGATTTTTTTTCTTATATTAATTTTCTGTTTATCCGTATTGTGCTTTTATCATGCATGAGGGGACGTACACTTTGAAGGTGAATTCAGTTTCCGACTACTATTATTATACTCCATTATTTTAACTCCTAAAGAATACGTGTACACTAATTTTCCTTCAATGTTAGATTATTTCCGTATGTTACATATGTTACATAGTTCGATTAGCTTATGTTTTGTTAAACCTTATTGATAAACTTTCCAGGGTTTTGCTGGAATAGTGCAAGCATCTGGTTGGCCAGCTGTTGTCGCTTGTATGGGCAATTGGTTTGGTAAAAATAAGTAAGCAGACATTTTACTACATTGATGGTTATTGTTTGATAGTTATATCTGTTAGGGTAAACTTTTTAATTATCTGTGTTATCTCGATCGTTAGCTGATGTCATCACTTGATGGTCCGACTTGCATGTCACAATAACCCAATAAACTGTGCTAGGGAGGAAATCCGTTCCTTGAGGTTCTACTATGCCAGAAAGTTATGTTATATAGTGATAGTACAAATAGCAGTTACCGTCTTAGAGCAAATAGCTGTACTACAATAGCGTCGGGGGAGGGTCTGAGAAGGTAGGGATACTGCTGACTGACTGGAGTTTGATAGCAGCGAGGTTTCTGTCATAGATGACCTGTAATGCCATCCTGATGCTGCCTTCCCTGTAGGGAGATGGGGGTTAGAAAGATCGATCTTAAAAAAGATCACACTTCCCTCTACTCTACGGTCTTCCAGTGCAGGCTGTCTATGTTTTCAATTTAGATTCAAAATAAACTAACTCAAGTCTCAAACTTCTAGAATGACCATATGTTACTGGTTCTATGGTGTGGGCAACCGGATAGTGTCAACCACCTTTATATCTCTGTCAGTACTCGACTAGTCCTAGTGTTTTGACTCGTTGATTTTTAGTACATTTCTTGTTATTGAATGATGACTGAAGGTGGAATGAGATTTTTTTACCGCAGCAGGATTTCAACCAACGACTACCGGTTTTCCTTAGGTTTCTTGTTGCCTATGTACGGAGTTTGTCGTAAAAAATATTATTTATATAATAATATAGGCTTTTAAAAGGTTACAGTTTTCACAGTGTATGTTTTTAACGTTTAGAATTTATAGCTTTTATAAACTGACTGACAGAATCAACGTAGAACCTCGTATACAGGTGGATTGGCTCAAGTTACCACACTTTACAGTTGTACACAAAGGATAGATGGATAGAGAAGGAGTGATATACGCTGCTTCATATAATCGTTTAAGGTTCTCAACATATCATTTCATTCAGTCTAGAGTTTTCTAATTATCAACTATCAATTGGACTTCTATTTGAGAATTAAACAGCTGATTTTTACCAGTTTTATTGCCTTCAGTAGCATTTATAGTCCGAGATCGAACCAACAACTTCCATTTCTCTGAACAGTTATGTCACTGTTGCACTACTTTGACAGTATTTTCATGATAGCCTTTCGGCATCAGTGAATATTTGCCTTCCTTTGTCATTGAATAAATCATCCTAACTGAGCAAGTTTTCTGAGCACCAAGTTTCATTAAGGATTCAAGAACAAACAAATCAACATACAATTTCGAGCTAATGTGAAGTGCTTCAATTTGTTCGTTTTCAAAGCAGAGTAGGCAGGAAAGATCAACTCATCAGTAGAAAGAAGGTATAATATTAATAATAGCAATGGGGAAAACTGGTGTGAAGCAATTGAATATTGAAAATCTAGATGAAGATAAAAGTTGAGTTTGATTACATCACTGTGATCAATTTAGAGTTACATCATCCGTAGTTCTTAACGATTAGTATGTAGCATGTCAAGAATCTTAGCCAGACAGCCGAAACCTTCCAGTAGTTCATTCCCTGAAGTTAGCAATAAAAGTGAATTGTTATAGTGGGATAACAATTGATTGTTCTCTGTCACTAAACTTTAGTGACAGAAAACCTTGAGAACAATCGACCATGTTGGAGGTGATTTATTTAAGGTCATTCACTACGTCTTTTTTACCGTGTTATTGACACTGCAAAAGTGTTTGATGAAATATGTCAAAGATTGCGTTGCAGGTTGAATGTGAAATTTAGTGGAGTAGGCTATGTGGTTGGAATAGATGAATGTCTTGTTCGGAAACTTGAATAAAACTTAAGAAGATAACTTCAAGAGGCCTGGGTAAATCATAACTTACCCAATGTATGTACACATACATTTGTTTTGGCAAACCATAGATTCTTGGTATATATTAACGGAAATCCAAAGAAAGGACACTCTCTGTAGATAAAGGATGGGTCAGAAAAATCTATCCTAGCAGTTATACAGGAATGCATGGTATTGGATACAACAATATACACAACCTCTTGATACCTTTATTTCGCAGCGAAAATAAATTGTAAATAAATGTATCGTTTTCCTCAATTATTTTGTCCTTCATATTCTTGATTCTGATTGGTCAGTGCATATTTGAATGTGATTGGCCGTCACTAAAGATTACACGTAGGTAGTATTTATCCTGTTTCAGAGTGCAGTTGGTTTTCTTCTAGATAACTTTTTCAATGCGTGTTGCCAAAAAAACCCACTATGTCATCAAGATTTATGTTTTTATGAATTTAGTAGTTCAATTAATGTATATTGGATTTCATTTGACTTGGCTTTTTTTTGATATTAACTTTTCTTTCAAAGTAAGTAGAAAAAATGTATATTTAGAATTCATATATTCTTCTGTAATCCTTAGGCGAGGATTTTTTATGGGTGTTTGGACAGCTCACAGTAGTATTGGAAATATTCTGGGTTCTTTAGTTGCTGGCGCTTTTGTAGAAACAGCTTGGGGATGGTCATTTATTGTTCCAGGCTTAATAATTGGATTTCTTAGTATACCAATATACCTGTTTCTTGTACCATGTAAGTTTTTATCACTTCTGTTTTCTTCATTTGAACTCTATCCTTAATGTATTTTGGCATCATCAAATTTGTAAAATCTATACTTCTCGTGGGATTTAAGGTTAACAGTTTTATGGTTGATATTTCAAGATACGATTGCGTAATACTCTAGGGTTAAATGATCTAAGCTGAGAAACTATGAAATAAGAGGTGAAATAGTATACTCCACCTTCATTGTAACATAGAGTAAGGTCAGATATCATGATTCATATGTCAATGAGCTGGAAAATCCCAAAGAGTCCTTCTTTATCCGAGTTCAAATTTCGTCAGCAACCCGTCAGCCTATTCATCGGCCTGATGCAACTTTCCAAGCAAGTGAAGTAGTCATCATATTCCACCACTTCATTCTCCATCATTAAACTGGGCGTGGTTGAAGATCAGTAACTCCTGTGGCATCATCTTCCATTTGACAGGTACCAGTGAACTGCATGTCAGAAATACTCAGGTTTCTACCCAACGCGTTCAGTTTGAGAAGACCCCACATTTCGTCAGAGTCTTCGCCTAACAGGACAATATCGTCTTCATACTCCAAGTCAACCAGATGACTTCCAGAGAGTATATCAGTCCGTATGAAGTTAGACGTACTTAAGGTTGTTTCCATTAATATGTGTACAATGAAGTAAAATAAGGCAGGAGTAAGACAAGGTTGCATACTATCACCGATCATCTTCCTCATTGTGGTTGACTGGATCATGCAACAAACAACTGTGAGAAGCAAGATGGGCATACTCTGTTTGACCGATGAAAAGACCCTAGAAGAAGATATGCATTTCGCCGATGATCGTTTATGTCTAATGTCGCACAAACTCGAAAATCTACAGACAAAAACCAACAAGTTGATAGAAGGGGCGGTGAAAATGGGACTTCAAGTGAACGTAGAGAAGACAGGCGATGAAGATAAACGACCAACAACAGCATCAACAACAAGCGCCGATCACCATGAACGGGAGAAACCTAAAGGAAGTAGTCTGTTTCACCTACCTAGGCAGCATCGTTTCAACTACAGGTTGCAGCACAGGCACAGATGAGGATGTCAAAGCCAGCCAGGATCGGAAAGACAGTAAGACAGGCCTTTCTTCATTAATCTGAAATCAGTGTGAACAACATCCGGATTTTCAACACTAAGTCAGTCAAGTAAGTCAGTGCTTCTATGAGATGGTTGAAAGATTTGGCCCGTTACGAAAATCATTTCCAGCAAACTGCAGATATACATTGTCGACAGCTGCCGCCTACGCTCCATACTGAAGATCAGATGGCCAGAATAATAACGATAAGCAAGAAGGAACTCTGGCCTGACCATTTGGGGACATCACGCATCAGGCCAGGCCAGGGCCCCAAGTGGAACCCAAAAGGGAAACGACGAGTTTGGTGTCCGAGGGTAGCATGGATGAGATCATGTTAGGAAGAAATGAAAGCTTGTGGGAAGCTGTAGAGCCAGGTTGAAAAGACTGCAGAGAAGAGAGTGAAATGGTGACGTGCTTGTGAAGCCCTGTGTCCCACTAGGACTTCAAGGAATAAAATAAATAAATGAAGTAAGACAGAATTCGTGACAGCAGACATCCTTGGTGGACACCGCTGATTGTCGTCAGCTCACATGACATCTCTCTATAAGACCTCACACGACTGCACGAGTATGAGTAGAGAGCTTTGATTGGCGCTATTTACATGCTGTGTACTCTCTTCAGAGTCAGACACTGCGACAAAATCTCATGGTTGACAGAGTCAAATGCTGCCTTCAGGTCAAGAAATATGACAATTGTCGACTGCTGGTGTGTATCCCCATGTTCTAGAACCTGCCGGGTGCTGAGAATATGATCGAAGCACCCTCAACCAGTTGTGAAACCTGCCTGATTTTCCCGAGCTCCAGTAAGGTGCTAGACAACTATAGACCTCAGGATTTTGAACACGCCATTAGTCAAACTCCTTCCCTATGGTTGTTACTTAAACACTTCCCTGTCTTCTTACAGGCAGAACTGATCAGTGGAGTGGACTAGTCTGACGGCACAACGTCTGATTTCCCTACACTATCTAGTACCTCCATCCTTGAAAACTTCAGGTAGCACACTGTCAGATCCTACTGCTTTGCATCGTTTCAGGTTCGATACAGCTTTCCCAACTTCAAAGAGAGTTAGGGGACCAAACAATTGTTACTTACAGCACATAACTGTCTTGATCACGTTGACGATAGTAAGCTTATTAATAGGTAGTTTCTTTCGTCATCGATTTTGGCATGTCTGTGTTGAGTGATATTATGCACAGGGATACACAATAAAGGTTGTCATTAATTGTTACTTTGCATTGAATAGCATTATTCTTGTCGCCGATCGACTTCTTATCAGTTCAGTGTCTAGTTTCAGCTCACATTGTCTGCCTGACCAAATGTAACAGTGTGCAATCTGTATTTTTTTAAAAGTCACATCCATCTTCTTACTTGAGAGCCCAACCGACACACATAAACACACATGCACGTATAAATTCACCTTGACAATCTATCTGATATGCATGCGTTTACTGAAACTTTCTTCATGTTAAATTAGTGATTTATTCACTGCCCATGTATTCTTCCATCTTTAGATCCTGAGTCCGTTGAAGTCCCACCTCCAATTCAACACAATCCAAATGTATGTTTCATTATCACGTCATTAAATATTTTGTTTTATTCATGTTGTGAAGAAACATATTTTATGGAATTTTTCTCCGGCTACTGATTCCAGTATTCTTGTGATGCTAGTTTTAAAAGAGAGGTAGGAGGGATGAGAATACATTAAATTCAGTATAGGGTCACTGACATATTACTTAGAATCTCCAATCACTATTTCCTGTTGTCGTATGGACCCCAACTGACTAGTCTACATCTCCCAACATGGCTGAGACGAGCAGACAAGGACTTCATGAAAGTGATGTCTTGTTTTAGTCTGGCTGCTCAAGAACTTTTTTCCGACCTGGACTTACCACAGCTGACATTGCGCGATGAGACAGGCTGTGACTAGGTATATTTAACGCAAGTCCCAGTCATCTGGGTTGATGAAGATTCACGATCTTATCAGCTGATTTCCCTCTGCGTTGCTGGCGTAATGACACCATGAAACATGGCCTATGTTACAAAGGTATGTTCTCTACCTTTAATGGTCATGCCTCGCAGTTCACTTGACCCTTAGTAGCTAATCGGATATCACGGCGGTACCATAGATGGCGTAAGTTGGTGAAAACTAATCTAGCCTTTTATGTCCGTGCAGGGATTTCGTGGGTCACTGAACCATCAGGGCTGAGCCGACTTTCCAGGTCAGTGAAGTGGTCAACGCACTGTATCGTTAATGCGGAAGGGGGGGGGCGATAAAGACCAGTCCTGGAGCAAAGATTAGCATTTGGGTGGCGAAAAATGCACGCATCCTAAACATTCCTATATCTCCACTTAGTGTATCCAAAAGACTGTGGATCCTGTCAGCATCTTTACCTAACAGAACTATATCAGCTGCATACTCTAGACCTACCAAGGATTCTGCTATGACCATGTCAATCTCTGTGATGTCAGGTGACGAGAGGGTGACCATTAGGACGTCTATGACAAGACATTACATTATTTCATTGGTACCCCAATCTTGATTCCATTTAATTTCACGTTGTCACATATGAAATAAACAGATTACAACACCGGAACATTTGTGAATCATGACGTAACATTGTTATCAACATGTATATCATATAAGGAATCAACAAAATCAAATGAATCAGGTAGGAAGTAGTGTGAGATTTGCCTTCTTATGGGTCTCCGTAGTTGAGCCAACCATTTAGCAATGGAATAGTAAGGTGAACTAGATTTCATTCTACTAAATATATCGCTGATTTATGAATAAGGTGGAATGACACATGCCCAGACTGCTTCCTATATTCGTACTGAAATGTCAGTAGAAATCTACTTCATATCCTATTCTGAAACGGGATATAGATACAGACCATTTTTACAAGATTGAATTTGATAAACACAAAACGCATACTAAACATTCAAATTTTCACTGAATATGTTCAATAGTTTACGTATATCATAAGTCTTCACTGAACAGTGCTCCCATCTACTTATAGAAGGTTAACAATAGGATCTTGTAGTACACTTTCCATATTTCTTGACCTGAAGACGGCATTTGACTCTGTCGACCATAAGATTTTGTGGCTGTATCTGACTGCAAGAAAGTATATAACGCTAATCAAATCTCTCTACTCAAACTCATGCAGTCGTGTAAGGTCTTATGTAAAGATGTCATGTGAATTGACGGCAACCAGGGATGTCTGCTGCACAATTCCTGTTTTACTTCATTACACACATATTAATGGTGGAAACAACCTTAAGTACGTCTGACTTCATAAGGACTGATCTACTCTCTGGAGATCACGTGGTTAATTTGGAGTATGTAGACAATATTGTCCTGACAAAATGTACGGTCTTCTCAACTGGGCGTGTTGACCAGAAACCTGATTATGTTTGTTACCTGGCACCACCTACCAAATATGATGCCACATGACTGACTGATCTTCAACCACTCCCAGTTTAGTGGTGGAGAATGAAGTGGTGGAATGTAACAACTACTTTACTTGCTTGGAGAGTTGCATCAGGCCGCTGAATAGGCTGACGGGTTGTTGACGAAATCTGAGCTAGGATAAAGAAGGCACGCTTAGCGTTTGCCAACTTGCATCATCTGTTTCACCGACTGGGGAGATATCTGACTACCTATCAAAGGCCGAGTATACTTCACTGTAGTTGGTTCTATCCTGAAGTACTGCTGTGCTGTGAGTTATGTTCGTTAAAGGTAGAAGACATGAAGTGATTACAGGGTTTTATCATAGGTGCCTTCGTAGCATTGCCGGCATTTGGTGAAATCAGCATGTGAGCGATGTTGAGTTCAGGTAAAAGGTAGTAGGCGAGACAGGTAGGTCGATTGGTTAGGTTTTTGAACCTTGGGAGACAGATAGCTTTGATGTGTCCCACTCGATTTCGAACTAATGAGTCATAATTTTAAACATTAATTGAAAACAATCTAGACAACAGAGAGCATTTTTGACGATAAATTCTTATTAGGTTCCATGGTTATAAAATGGAATTACACAAACATAAAAGCAGGCTTCTTTTTGAGATGACTACATTTCCAAAATGAAATGTGAGTTAAGGACTGTGAAGAAGTTAGTTTCTGTTCTTACATTACCCAGTATTAGGATCACTTATGTACAGATGAGCAGTGTGATAACCATAAACAGATGACAGTAGAAAAGGAAGACTGAAGTAGGCATTGATGAAAGTGGTAGAACGTTTTGTCTCAACCCAGCTAGTAGGTAGAAGATGGGGCATCACATGGATGTTAATAAAGCCTTCATACATCGTGTTCCGAGAAGAATATCACGTGTAGTTCACCAACGCCTATTCAACACAACTGAAATTGTAGCAATAAGATTGATGAAACCTGAATTTCGAATACATAGAGAACACGTTCAGGCATTATTCCTGTCTTCACCTTAAGTAAAGTAGAGGTTACCCATGTCTTCCTTTCGTGTTCCCTGATCATCAAATTCTTCATCTGTGTATAAATAATTCATCCTAATCATAACAAATTTATCCGGTAAGCAAATGATTTCTCTGGGTATGGTTTCTCTCTTCACCCCTGTCTATCTCATGAGAACTTTCTGTTTTCTGTGGGATTTTATTGAAGACAATAATTGCTTCGTTGGTATCCCAAAGTACTATTTAAAGGAATTATTTCTAGGATGTGCTTCCAACCCACAGTTCAAATTCAACAATGAGCTATATAGACAAAAGGATGGGATTGCTATGGGGTCACCACTTGGACCACTGCTGGCTGGATTGCCTTGTGGCGAACCTACAAAATAGTGTGCTTCATTCAACAATTGATAGTTTCTACCTATATAAAAGATATATGAATGATACATTCATCATATGCGATCAAAGTACAGACATTGGGACTATAGTTAGATTGTCATTCATCTGTCAACTTCACATCAGAATTTGAATAGAACTCAGAATTCTATTTTCTCGATGTTTTATTGAAACGTAGACCGGAAGGCTTCCGTCGGAGATCGATTTATAGGAAGCTCACATAGAATGAACAATACTTGAATTTCCATAGCTGGATGCTTCTTAGCAGAAAAAGGAATCTGATCCATTTTTTATCTTCAAGAATCAGAAAAATCTGCACGAGTGATACTATAGACGATGAATTAGACAAACTGTGACGAAAATTCTCATGCAAAATGAATAACTATGCAGACATATTGAAAAGAATTTGAAATTAAAACAGAATATGGAGCAAGTACTCACAGTTTCGAAGAAGAATGTGTTTATGAACGTTGGTTTAAAAGGCGATAGGGCAGTAGAAATCCTGAAGAATCGGTTGCCTAGATCACTGAGGTAGACTTTCTTCTCCACAAAGCTACAGATCAGCTTTTGTAATCAGCAATTATTTCTGAAGTATGTTAAAGACAAGCTGCTGCTATAGGAACATCAATGCTTGTCTACAAATTTACTTGCTCTCCTGTCCAGCTGGTTATATAGGCCGCACAAATCGCACACTTTCCAAACGTATCTGTGAGCACTATCCTGCATGGTTGTCGAGGGGAGAATATAAATTAATTAACAGTCCAATTCTTGAATATTCAGTCAACTCTGGACATATAGCTCAACCAGAGTCCTCTTCTTAAGTCATTTATAGAGTGAAATGGAATAGTTCAAAAGAAGTACGTACACCTTCGACAGTTGTACACAGACGAAGCACTGACAATTCATCAATTCAAGCTTAATCTCTGCTTCCAGTCTCCCATATTATCACTCTCATCTTAACACTCACACACTTTTCAATTTCATTATAGTGAGTTAGTCTACTACTATCACCCTCATTTCTGTCTGTCTTCACCTTCCTTATAACTCTCAGGTGGACATTCAACCTTCTCATTCCACATCTACCAACAATTGTTACCTCATCATCATCATCACATCAAACTCCTTACCTTTCTCATTATTTTCATTGTCTACAAAATTATTACACAATCACTCTCCATTCTTGATTTCAGTTTTTAGCATTACTTGGCTGAATGATGTAATCACACTGTATTTGTCTTGTTCAACAATAGACTCTTATATGTTTGTGGTGTGTATACTTATGTTGAGTTGAATTATTTCACCATGTTTATTTTGTGTAATTTCCACCCCCCGCTCACTTCTCTTCTTCCTAGGAGTATACTTCTATGGATAAACCAATCAGAGATGAATATTCATCTGAGGTGAGTTTAACCTTTAGCATATTTCTCTAAGACAAGTTGTAATTCACCTCTATGCTTAATACTACTGCATATATTCAAGAGTATACGAGTTAGTTGAATAATCAGAATAACTGTTGGTTACTTGTTTACCTCTTTGTTTTTTTGCATACTACTTACTCTTAGATATAATTAGGCCTGAAGTTTAACTGGGAATGTTTTAATTAGTTGTTGGCAAAGAGGAGTTTGTAGTGTTGATTATTGTCTGAAACTTAAGCTATCAGTGGGGGTCTTTTTATGTGACGATCGATTGATTCCAGTGTAGTTTTTATCATGAAATCATTTGTGACCCTTTAATCTTCTATTTGATTGGTGGTCTGCTTATAACGTTGAGCTAAGCAATGGCTTCCCAGCGTATACATTACATCAAATCACTCCTGTTTTACTTGTTGTAATTATGCATATGTCAACAAACTGTAAGTCATACTCTCGTATATTCCTTAAATATCATTGACATTATTGCCACACAAGTTAACGACCTCGAAAAACTAACAAACGGATTATCCTATTCTACACGAAGAAATTCTCCAAAATCACAACTAGATTATTGAAGCATTTGGCAATCGCTATACTTCACAAAATCTCTCCACTCTCTGTTATATAGGCCAAAATACACAAATCAATCATTATCTCTAAAATAAACTGCAGAAACTGTGGAAAATGCTACATCGGACAGGGTTGTCGTCTTCTTCGTATCCGTCTACATGAACATCAACTAGTTATGAATCACCATAATATATCTTCGTTCATATCAATCCATACAGGCAACTATGAATATGAATTTGACTGAGGAAATGAGGAAATTCTAGCTGGATAGAGGAAATACAAAGGATTCCATAGAATGTTGGTATTCAGGTTGGTCAGCAATCAACAGAGATTTCTACATGGATTCAACCTATCAACCGATAAGAAACACAAGGAACTAGAAGGTCAAAGTTCACGTCAGAAGGGACAACCAACAGAAATAAAGCAGAAGACATTTAGCGAAGAGTTACTCTTTTCAGCGACATCATTATCAAGTTTCTTTCGAATGCAGAGTTCAGACTTCAAACTATTAATTGCCATGGCTTTCACTGTTTGAAGACGTTTTACGTGTACCTGTTTCACGAGACTTGCATGAACTCTATATGTGATATTAAAGTTGTTTTCTGTATAATCGATCAGATGTTCTAAAATAGAGCTGCGAGGTGTTCTTCTATCTCCTTTATGGAACCAGACTGGTATATCTTTGGGAATACGTTTGGAAAGCGAACACTGAATACGGCCAATATACCTTACTCCATAGGATCAGGTGAATTGATAAACACACATCGAGATGGTCAAGGGAAGTTAGCTTATCTTCTATGCATAATCGAAGCATTGAGTGTGTGGAGAAAATTAATCTGAGTTTGGAAGGATAGAAATTCTTTCTCAATGAGTATGCCAGACAGTTTCTCAATGTATCATCTGCTGATATGTTTCCATTCGACTGTAAACTCATGAAAAGAGGCTTCTTAGAAGCCGTAGAAGTGGGATAATAATTTGCTTTCAGTTTCATAGTTTTAGCGATGAAACATTCAGGATATTGGTTTTCAATTAAAACATTTTTGAAGGGATTAAGTTCATCTTGCAAAGTATCAGGACTGCAGATAGTGTGGTTTTTATGGCACACACATAATATTCTAGGTGTTGACAGATAGGCAATATCACAACTGGTGACACAACAAGTATATTTTACTAACTGAGTAAAAAAGTTTCCACATGATTGCTGAATCATATTATAAATTTGTTAGGAAAACTGTTGAAGAAAAACACGTTGCAAACCACTCAAATAAGTAGAAGAAAAATTGTATGAAAACATACCCCAGTGCTTTTTGACAGAACTTCAAGCCGGATGGTTGGTTGATTGAAGAGATAGACTCACGTAATCATTTTGACTAATATGACAGCTCAGATAGAAAGTAGCCTATTTGACATTTGCCAACTTGCTTCATCTGTGGCTTCGACTGCCGAGATATTCGGTCTATGTATCAAAAGACGAGTGTACTGCACTGAAGTCCATTCTATCCTCGTATACGACTGTGAGACATGGTCGCTGAAAGTGGAAGAGTTGAAGCGATTATACGATTTTAATCATAGGTATCTTCGCGTCTTGTGGCATCAACATATGAACAATGCTGAAATAAAGCGAAGGGTACTAGGCAAGTCGATTAATAAGGTTTGTAAACCATAGTCGACTGCAAAGGCTTGGACATGCGCTACGAATATGCAGCCACTGCCTACCTTGACATTCTATGCTAATGGAAGTTTGATTCGATCAAAAGAGGGTTTAGGGTTATCAGACCAGAATTCGGTACCAGTCGATGAAGTTTTTGACTGTTGGAAAGTGTTGACTAAGTGGAGACTTGGTGACAGAAGTGAAAATTAGTCACAATAATTCAGATCTATTCACTCTTTGACATTTATACTAACCATTATCTTTGAATTGTTTATTTTCTCACACTACTTAGTCTACTTTGATATCACTTGTGTTTCTACCCACCTCTTCTTTGTATACTTCAGTGATTTATTGCAAGTTGAACAGATGTATCACTTGTATGAAAGGTTTTACATTGAGTTTAAGCACTCGACTTTTGAATAACGTGTTCCGCGTTTAAATGTTATTTCACCTAATATAAGAGTAAAACTTATGCACTGTGGTAGAATGTAATTCCATTTTTATTGATTTATTAGATTTATTACTCAGTGGAGGAACAGTATTGTTTACTGGTTTACGTTTCGGACATAATTTATTACCCATAGTTGTCATAATGAAGATAACTAGACACCTTTGAGATATCCTTTATATAGTTCTAATTACCTCACCTCCTTTGTGACATGAATAGTAAGATTTTTCATATACCCGGAAAAGGTGTTGAGTCATTCCCATTGCATGTTGCATTGGGTGTTGATTCAATAAGCGAAGATTCAGTTATCAGTCTCCCTCTCCATATTGCTGCGTTATGTTTAAGGATTTTCACCCTGTCCCATCCTATTGTGTGGGATTGAGCTTTTTTCTAAATTACTTACCTCACTAGCATCTAACAATTTGGACCCAGATAGGTTTTTGTTTTCGGACAGCTTAATTGATCCTGACTGCTCCACTACTTTGACCTTGCAATCGTTTCAAGGGATTCTGACTAACTGCATCAGTAGGATCTTTTAACTTACAACGCTTATTTCTAAGTCAGTTTGTTGGTGTAAATTCCACTCTAATCTCAGCTAGCCTCATTGAGAATCCTGCGTAATGTCTCTAAAGTACCTTCTTTCTATCGTAAAACTGTAGACGTTTTGAATTCTCTATTCACAGTATTGCCACTAACTACTATTACTACTATTAACACCTGTGTTACTAATATTACTTACAGTTTTCTTACAATTCTTAAGGAACTTATCAATTAACTTGGGAGGGTAATTCTTGATGAGTAACGTGTCTTTAATGTATCCGGTTCCTTTTTCTTACACCTTCTGTTTTACTAGTAAGTTTTTTGGCCGTGTTACTTAGACACTTTACTCAGTCAACTTTAACTGATATACAGTGAGACGATTTGAATGTGAAAGTTTTCTGTACACACTAGTCCATCTAACCTCTCATCTTGTTTCTCTTTTATTCAGCAATCCAACATCGCTAATTCTCCTTCACTATTTCATAGGTGAATTGGATACAGTTGACTACTCAATTTATCTGTATGTGCTCCGATTTCAACACTATAAACGTATCATCTACATATATTGAAAGGATACTTTTAGAGTAAGACTAAGTGTTTCGACAGCTATCCGTTTTCCAACTATCCATAAATATGTCAACCACAATAAGGGATATTAGTGATTCCATGGCAACTTCTTCTGTTTTGTTTGTATATTTTATTCTCAAACCTAAGTATTGTGGAAGTTAGGCATAGCTGTACTTTCAACATGATATCATACCTTAGTTCGTAATGTAAGCTCGTGGTTATTATTGAGCTCGTTTCTAACTGCTTCCAGGGCAATGCCAATCGGTATGTATATATGAAAAATCTTACTATTCATGTCACAAAGGAGGTGAGGTAATTAGAACTATATAAAGGATATCTCAAAGGTGTCTAGTTATCTTCATTATGACAACTATAGACAATAAATTATGTCCGAAACGTAATTCCAGTAAACAATACTGTTCTTCCACTGTATGATAAATTTAATAAATCAATGAAAATGGAGTTATTTCACCTACTTTGATCTAGGCAATCGAGTGACTTATACATATTGTACTATATAGGTATGCCCCAGGTTGACTTATTTATTTCTATCTCGCTCCATTATTGAACACAGTGAATATATTGCAATAAAAGTTATTGAACTTGGCCATAGATACATACATCAGTCCTACCTATTGAATCGTATGAACCTATGGTGTTTATTTCTATAATGTATATACACACTGGTTGAAGACATTGGATTACAATAGTAACTCACTAACACTTCATTATTCTTCTCTTTGATTAATGAAATGTATTGAAATACAAATAAAACAGTTGAAAACCTTTCAAAATTTACTGGGCTTAGATTACCATCATGTGAGTTACTTTCTTTATTTCCTCTTCCCTGTTGATGTGAGATGAAGTGTTGTGTGCTGATAAAAAGACATTTCCACGTTTATATATGTATATGTGTGCTTGCTTTGTCTTAACTGTAATTGCACTGGTTGATTAGTCTACTCATATATCAGATAATGTTATATATTCCACTGAATTCTCTCTTGATGTCTGTAGTATATAAAGGAAGAGTTGAATGTCTTTGAGTTCACGTTGGTAGTGCGACCTCTGTTCTCACTTTTATTACCAGCTTCTTTGTTATGGTTGTTGTATCCTTTTATGCGGAACAGTCAGTTTACATTTTCACTTTTGGATCGCTTTTGTTTGTAAACTGCATCATATTCGTCTATTGTTGCTCCATTTGTGTATATGTGTGTGTGAGTGTACTCGTTTGTTGAAAACAACCGGTTTCTTCTGCCGTAATGAGTTCATCTCTGCCTTTAATTTCACTAATCGCCCTCCTCCCCCTTGGTGGTACCAGACTGATCTAATCTCACCCAATTTGTAGTTGAGGAAGTACATTTTACCTTAAAATAGTAGCTTGTAGCTGAGTTGTTGGAGCATCGGGTCACTGGTTCGATTCCTCTCATGGCCCAGATTTTCAGTTCACCTTTAATCATCACTCAGTATAATATAGTCTTACGTTCAAGACAAATGCGGTGAAATAGTGCTATATACCCTTAGTTTTGCATAGCCTTTACCTGCTGTTTTGCCTACCACCCTAAAATAACCTATATGACTTTTCACACTGTTACTAGTTTTCCTTCCCTCTACTCTCAAAGGCTGAATTCTCATTGGTTGTTAACTATTTTAACCTATATGTGAATTTAGTGTCGTCAAGGTCATTTAGAAATATATATATGTATATTCAGCATCGCTATCAACTGTATTGACTGTCGTTGAGACAGTGAAAAGCTCTCTATCAACGGTTTGTCTTCTCTTCTTATGTTCACGTGTCGGTGGTATTGTTGTTGAGGTGGTTCGTATCGCTCGCAGGCTGTTAGGTCGTACTACCGGTCATAGAAAATAGATGCACCAACATCTTATGGATTCAGAACAGTCAGCCTAAACATCCTTATCTAACTAAGATTAATAGCCTACAACTGGATGAACACGTCTTAGTTTGGCTACTCTAAGCTTTCTCACACTTTCATCTTAGTTTAGTCAATACCATACAAGAAAGAAAATAACTCAGTAGACTAATTTATGTGATTCCATCAAATGCTACGCGGACTTGTACAGTAGTGAATCTATGACGCATACGTGTCTTCTCACTGTACATTCCGTATCTTTCTATAGTAGGATGAACTTTTCAGTGATATTATACTCCTGCTTTCATAGGTCGTCGATTCTGTTAGTTGAAAGGAATCCCTTGGCCTAGGTATCGTGCTTTTTCGCACTTGTTAGCAGCAAGACATATTTGAAACCTTCAGGGAACTGATTTCCCGCCTGAGATTCGGACTCTCATCGTCCAGTAGTGCAATTAAGAACGTTACCACTGAGCTATTCGGGTCGCGACTGACCTCCTGTAGGACTGGGTTAGGTACATTGATTGGTCATTGAACAGTAGCCAACCTCATATAGTTTAGTCCCGAGTGCTTATTCAATTGCTTCCATCGAATTAACATCGATCTCAGTTAATCACGATTGTAAGCCTGGTAGCCGCATTGTATGATGATCGGTAGAATTCGACTATGCTACCTACACCAGAAATGACTCAAGTTATTGAAGAATGTTAAATGAGTTTGTGTATGTGTGTCACTCATCAAGTGATTTGGTAGTTTCGCTTAACTTTATAAGGCTTTTTTGTACATAAATCGTTTTCGATAATGATTTTATGATTATTTGTCCCTTGGGTTCCTAGTGGAATACAAGGCTCCACTAACACATCTCGATTTCACTCTCTTCTCTACAGTCCTCCTAACCTGACTCCAAGACTGCCCATCACCTTCCATTTCTTTCTCACACCATCTCCTCCATATCACCCTTGGACGCCAAACTCGTCATTTCCTCTTTGGGTTTCACTCGACAGCCTGGCCTGGCCTGGCCTGCTGTGTGATGTCCCCAAACGGTGTTCTTAGTGTATGCCCAATCAATCTCCACTACCTTCTCTTTAGCATATTTGTTTGTTGATGGGTTGTTGGTTGGTTGGTCGGTTTTCAGGCCAGGGTTCTTTATTGCTTATTCTTACTGACAATCCACCTGATCTCCATCGTCAGTATGGAGTGAGCGTAGGCGGCAGCTGTTGAAACGATGCTGCCTCCTAGGTAGGTAGGTAGGTAGGTAGGTAGGTAGGTAGGTAGGTAGGTAGGTAGGTAGGTAGGTAGGTAGGTAGGTAGGTAGGTAGGTAGGTAGGTAGGTAGGTAGGTAGGTAGGTAGGTAGGTAGGTAGGTAGATGGAAGAGACAACTTGCTTTAGATTTCTCCTGTTGATGGTGATTGGTGTTTGTTGTTGTTGTTGTTGGTTGGGTGTCTTCATCACCGCTGTCTTCTCTACGTTCACCTGAAGGAAGTCCCGTCTTCTCTGCCCTGCCTCTTCTGTCAACTTGTTAGTTTTCACCTGTATATCTTCGAGTTTGTGCAACATAAGACATAAGACATAAATCATCATGGACGAAATCCAAATCTTCTAGGGTTTCCCGATAATAATGTGTACATTTTATTATATTCACTAAAGGATATACATCATTTCAATGGGATGCTTTGCTCTGCCCTAATCATCTTTCAAACCAAATAAAGTTTATATTCTACTGTTATATCTTGTCTACTTTTTTTTTTAAAAAAAAATGATTATCTGAAAGTATCCTGTGAAATTATTGTACTTGATTGTTTTACTTTTGTTATCTTTCTCCATTATTCAAGGAATTGCATGTAACAAGCAGTTCACAAAGTAATCTTTTATTACTGAATAAAGATGATTCTACATCATTTCTGCGTGCATTAAAAGTACCTGTAAGTCACTTGTAATGAAGTCATTACCCTTTTTCTTTTTATTTATCAGAAACAGTTTGAAAACTATATAGTTATTTGCATTATTATCTGCTGCTTAGTAAATTATCTTTCTTTGTACTTAGGTACAGCTTTGATCATCCTGACTATGAAATCTTATCATTCAATATGATATATTTGGAGTAAGAAAATGTTGGTTTCAATTCCTAGTGTGAAAAGGTATCATGTGAATCATGTGGCAGTATTTCCTTGAGAAATCTTTAGACAATATCAAGACATTCGGATAAGAGGTTGATCTTGTGATCCACTCACCTATTGGACAATGCTCTACAGTATGAGTCGAGTGAGAACACCATCACTCTCTGAGATTCAGGTACATTTAGCTGACAAATCTCAAATTGGATGAAATGCGTGTGTCCTAGATTCCTTTGCTGACTACCCCAACGAGATCAATTACGTCATAATACTATTAATGTCCAAAAGTGTGGCATATAATTATGACTTTGAAAAAGCCTGCGACAGCGTTGACCGAGAAGTAATTTGGCAGGCAGTTGCTTCAACACTACAGTTATAGTGCCACAAACCTTTATCAACCTATATAACGATGTTACATACCAAGTGATTCACAATGAAAAGCTCAGCGATGCCTTTGAAATGAGGTGAAGACAGGAGTAAGACAAGACAAGGCTGCCTACTATCACCGATTATCTTCCTCATTGTGGTCGACCCGACTGCACTGGACCAGATCATGCAAAAAACTGTGAAGAGCTGTGAGAAGATGGGTATACGCTGTTCCACCAATGAAAAGACCCTAGAACATTTGGATTTCGCCCATGATGATTTATGTCTTATGTCGCACGAACTCGAAAATCTACATGCCAATAGTAACAAGTTGACAGATGAGGCTAGGGAGCGAAGACGGAACTTCTTTCAGGTGAACGTAGAGAAGACACAGGTAGTGAATATACCCAACCACCAACAACAACAACCATAAACACCAATCACCATCAACGGGAGAAATCCAGATGAAGTTGTCTCTTCCACCTACCTACCTACCTACCTACCTACCTACCTACCTACCTACCTACCTACCTACCTACCTACCTACCTACCTACCTACCTACCTACCTACCTACCTACCTACCTACCTACCTACCTACCTACCTACCTACCTACCTACCTACCTACCTACCTACCTACCTACCTACCTACCTACCTACCTACCTACCTACCTACCTACCTACCTACCTACCTACCTACCTACCTACCTACCTACCTACCTACCTACCTACCTACCTACCTACCTACCTACCTACCTTCCTTCCTTCCTACCTACCTACCTACCTACCTACCTACCTACCTACCTACCCACCTACCTACCTAGGAGGCAGCGTCGTTTCGATTACAGACGGCGGCACAGGCATAGATGAGGATGTCAAAGCCAGCCAGGATCGGAAAGACATCAAGACAGACCCTCCTGCATTAATCCGAAATCAGTGTGGTGATCTACTGCACTCAGCATAAAGTATGAACAACTTCCGGCACAGCCATCGCCATTGTGCCACTTGGCCTCCTCCCTCTACCGTTCAGCCACCCGGGACAATGGAATTCCGACCTAGTCCCATATTTTCAATGGTTTATTCAACTGATTTTAGTCTGTGATGAACACTACCGTAAAATTAAAATCCGCATTAACATCAGTATACGTTACCGTATAGTGCACACTACTAACATGCTTCGAGATGGATATGTGGAAGCTCTAATAAGAAGTCATGACTTGTGGGGTCAACCAGTCGCAAGGGAAACGGATGTCAATTGAAGACCTTGCGTGATAGTCGCACTATGCCACGAATTAACAGAAGTTGGAAACTGTGAACCATTGAACTCTAACCCAGCGGCCGAATGGTTAACACGTTTGTTACGAAACTTGAAGGTCGTGAGTTCGATCTCTGTTGGGCGCGGTCGTGGTTGTGTACTGCTGAGGAGTCCCATACTAGGATGAACCAGGTGTCTAGTACTTCCAGGTTTTCAGTGGTTCTCCAACTGATGTCAGTCTGTGATGAATACTACCTAAAGATTCTGCTGTTGTTGTCGTCAAAAAATCACATAATTTTCACTTTTTTCAGATTTACATATTCACTCCATGCTTGTTCGTGTGTGCGAAATAATAGGCATACTACTAGAGAATTTCAATTAGCACAGTAACAAACATGCGAGTTCACTGAATTTCTCTTCGAATGAGATTTCATTTTCACCTTAACCCTTCCGTAGTACTGAATGATGAGAATGAAAAAAACGAAACGCACTCACTCATCTTATCCACATTCGTACAGTAAGCAGTGAGCTAAACCTATTGCGTAACGGCTACTCATAATACTACCTGACTACCCGAACCTCTGTAGGCGGAACGGGACTCGGATCTCCGATTCAGTGATTGCAATGATGACAACCTAATGCTAGTTTACATATCTTTTACTCCTTGGGGTTTATCGTCAGTAGTACCTGAGTGTAAATGAACTACTCGTATAGATCGACCGGGTGTCATAGTTTTTCGAACTGCTTTGTTATCTATTTTTCTATGTTATTCATCTTTTGTAACCTTAGTGACTCTCACATATATGTATGTGTTTCTTCTCATCCTCCCCCACCCGCCAACACATCCACTTCGTTAATCAGGGTGTTATTGAATACTCATTGACCTTATTCTTCTCAAAACTAGTTTCATACACCTTTCTATTTTGGTTACCGATGTATATACGCGATGCAGGTGGTTTCGATCCATCATCATCAGCAGATTTATCAGCTGTTTTTGATTTAGGCGGAATACTTGGTGGAATTGTAGCTGGTTATGTGTCAGATAATACTGGATCAAGTGCTATCACATGTGTTGTTATGCTGGCAATATCAATACCTACAGTAAGTTAGTGTATATATGAATTGTTAATGTTGTCTTTCTGTCTGTTTTTCTTCTTCATGATAATTTTCATATTAGCTGCTTGATAACAGTGAACTGCAATCTTTGTTTATAATTTCGATAGGATTCATGCTGTGTATAGAATTTGAACTTACATTCCGTTTAATGGATCCTTATTATGTAGTCATGCTGTGTAGTACTAATTATTGACTGAATCTTATCAAATATGTGTTATGCTGGGTCTTAAAAAATCCCCAAAAACCTCTAATATGAGTTAATCTAGTGCCCATTACTGAATTGCTTCGAGATGAAATTCCCGAGTCTCTAATCAGAAGTCGTAACTGGTGAGGCCAGCCATGTTGAACGTGTGGACGACATTGAATGTAAACTGACAGAAGTATTAAATATGGATCATTGGATTCCGACCCAGTGACTGAATGATAACATGCTGGTCGCGGAATCTAAAGGTCATGGGTTCGATCCCTGGCAGAGTGGATTTGGGGTTATGGGTGCCCACTACTGAGGAGTTCAGCGTCCCCAGGCTTCCATTATTCCTCCAACTGATGTCATTTCCTGATGATTACCAACTTGGAATCAGCAAGTAAATCTCTATAACCCTCAAAATCTTATAAAATTATCTAACTATCCAAACTAAAGGCAATGTAAATGGAAAATGAATGTCTCTAAACTATCATAAGAACAGGAATAGGGTGGTAAAATCAAGTCTATCTGGTCTATGCAATTGGTAGGTCAAAAACCCAACCTCTGATCCACTTACCGAAGTCTACATAGTCGGATAGCATCATAATATGTCACACTAAGTGTGACTCAAAGCCTAGTTCATATAGTTACTGAGTTGCGTAATCTTTCCTGCAAAACTTGACTACTATGGTGGAATTAAATTTCATATGACATCGTTTTATTCAGTTTACCTATTAGTGTCGATGCATTGACAATAAGGTTGAATAGAATAACAGTGTTAAATGTTGAGATATTTTAATTGAAGAAAAAGATTGGTTTTCCACTCACTGACTTACTGATAGAATGAAAGTAGAACCTCACACACACACACACACACACACACACACATACACACACACAAGTGATGCTTCAGTGCAACTTGTCACACTCCACATTAGTATTCAAAGAACAGGTGAATAGAAGAGGAGTGATATCAGAGTAGAGGATAAACACTTTGAATATGAAGGTTAGTAGGAATATCCAAGCTTTGGAAGATGAATACATCTTCACCATTGTGACCACTTTTCAGCTGTCACCAGGAGTCCTCAGCCACTGATTCCTTTCGTCATGCGGACCCCAATCAGACAGTCTGCATCTTTTCACACGGTTAAGGCCACCCTTAACCATCTTCCAACCTAATCTATTTTCGCTCAGCCTGTCAGTGAACATTGAGATAGGCAATGGCTTGGCATAAGTGGTACGTGTCCGACCCATTTCATTGTTGAAAGCAAAGAATGTGTTGACAGTAATCAGAATACAAAATCCAAGTATCACATCAAAACAATGTTTTCAGTATCAATGTTTGTATTGTACCATCGCTGATTGAACCGAATAGGTCGGTCTTTATTGGCATGTGGGCTCCTGTGCGGATGCCTCGATATTACCTGTGTTTTAATTATAGTAATGATGGACAGTCGAGGCATCCGCACAGAAGCCCATATGCCAATAGAAGCCGATCAATCCGATCCAATCAACGACGGTGTAATACAAGCAATAACACTAAAATTAAACCGGTTGCACAACAAGTGGCTATCGTGGTTCGGTGGTCTAGTGGATAGATAACGCTCTGGTGATTGAAGCGATCGCTCCCGAGTTTGAATCCCGGTGGGGAGTCACATCACTCACTGGGAAGCAGGTGCATCCAGCTGACCAGTGAATCCCAAATAGGACGAAATGCGTATGCTGTATTCCACAGCTGGCTACTATCCATCACTACTGTAATATTTCCAGGTAATAAGTTGTGCTCACAACATACGAAGCTGGAACTACAATTTCACATCCACATATACTTAGACTAAAGTAGGTCTCAATGAAATTGATCGACTAACATTGTTTGCATAAAAAGCTTAATTATACCTGATAAGCGATTTCAATTGGTACATTTCACCTGCTCTAAAATTCTACAGTAAAATTGAACCTCCGTCAATAATTTATATGTTTATTCGTTATAAAGTCTAACTTTATATTGATTCATATGCATAAACTCACATAGCTTTATCATATGTGAAACGCCTTTAACATTACTCGTCATATGTTTTAATTTGATCAGAAAATATAACAATGGTCATGGTTAATCATCATTCAATATATCCATTCGAGGATTTACTCTCTAAATAACTAACTGAACTTGTTCTTAAGTGTTAGAAAATTTTTTTCAGGACTGATCGATTCATTATATTATTATATTATTTATCCCTTGGGTTCCTAATTGAACATAGGGCTTCAGTAGCACGTCTCCAGTGCACTCTGTTCTCTGCAATCTTTTGAACCTGTCGCCACGAATGCCCACAAGCTCTCATATCTTCCTCACATCATCTCCTCCATGCCAGCCTGACCTCGGACGCCCAACTCGTCGCTTCCCATCTGAGGTCCACTCGAAGGCCTAACCTGACGTGTGATCTCCCCAGTCGGCCTTCTCAGTGCATGCCAATTCAATCCATCTCCACTTCCTTCCAGTGCATATTTGTTGTGTGATGGGTTCTTGGTTGGTTCGTTGCCAGGTCAGAGTTCCTTGTTGCTTATTCTTTCTGGCCATCCATCTGATCTTCAGTAACGAGCGAGCGTAGACGGCAGCTGTTGGTGAATGTCTGCAGTTTGTTGGAAACCCCTTTCGTAACGCGCCAAGTCTCTCAACCATACAGGAGCACTGACTTGACGTTGGTGTTGAAAATCCGGATCTTGTTCCACATGTTGAGTGCAGAAGATCTCCACACTGGTTTCAGGTTAATGAACGCCTGTCTTGCTTTTCCGATCCTGGCTGGCTCTGACGTCCTCCTCTGTGCCACCTGTAGTTGAAACAGTGCTTCCTAGATAGGTGAAGGAGGCTACTTCCTTTAAGTTTCTTCCGTTGATGGTGACTGGAGTTTGTTGTTGCTGTTGGTTGGGTATTTTCATCACCTCTGTCTTCTCTACGTTCACTTGAAGTCCTGTCTCCCTTCCCTGCCTCACCTCTTCTGTCAACTTGTTAGTTTTCGCCTGTAGATCTTCAAGTTTGTGCGACAAGACACTAGACACAAGTCATCGGCGAAATCCAAGTCTCCTAGGTTCTTTTCCGCGGTCCAGCGTATCCTCCTCTTCTCGCTCCTCACAGTTTGTTGCATGATCCAGTCCACTAGAATCAGGAATATCATGGCTGATAGTAGATAGCTTTGTTTTACTCCTGTCTTCACTTCAAAGGCATCACTGAGCTTCCCATTGTGAATTACTTGGCATATGGCTTCTTTATATAGTCGGTGAATGAGATTGATAAAGGTTTGTGGTATTCCGCAGTGTTGAAGCAGTTTCCAAATTACTTCTCAGTCGACGCTGTCAAAGGCTTTCTCAAAGTTGATGAAGTTGAGGTAGGGAGTTGACTGCCATTCTATACTCTGTTCTATGATGATGCGTAGAGTGGCGTTGCAGTTTGGTCCGCACATGATTTGTACTTCCTGAAGCCTGTCAGCCAGCCTGTTCCGGTGGTAACTTTGAATCCAGTGCATCCTTTAGTTTCTCCACGATGATGCGGCTTAGTATTTTGCTTGCTTCGGGTGGACAGGAGAGTGATTCCGCGCCAGTTCTTGCAAACACTTAGGTCGCCCTTCTTTGGGTGTTTGACAAGGTAGCCCTTCTTACAATCGCCAGGTACCTTCCCTTCCTTCCTTCCAAACCCTCTGCAATAGTGGTGTGAGCATGTCCGCTGTTGTCTCTATGTCTGTTCTCAGTGCTTCTGGTGGGATTCCATCTGGTCCTGCTGCTTTCCTGCATTTCAGTAGCTTTACGACGTTCAGGACTTCGACTTTCGTCGGAGGATTTGTGTTCACTTGCAGTTCTGTGGCTGCAGGTGGTATTTCTGGACGAAGTGCAGGTGGTGGGGTGGTCGATTCAGGAGCTTCTTTAAGTGGTCACCCCATCGTTCCCTTTGGTTCTCTTCTTTGATAATTAAGTTTCCTTCATCATCTTTTATTGGTTTCATCTGTGTTGATCTCTTCCCTACCAGATAGTAACCTGGTTATTTGATACAATGTTGTCAGGTCTCTCCTACCAGCCAGCCGGCAGCCTGTTCTGCTTCACTTGCCAGTGTGTCGTGGGAGTGTCTTTTGTCTTTCCGTGCACTCTTCATCACTTCCTTGTCCAGTGTAGTGTTTTACACGTTGTACTCAGTTCCTCTTCTAGTTGTGCATCCTTGCACTGCACTGGTTTATCTTCTGTTTCACCATCACCATCCTCCTCTCCCCGCTCTATCAGCTCCCATGTGTCCATCGAGATCGACTCCTTATGTTCTTTCTTCTTCCTTCCTAATACGGTTATGCAGGTTTCTTTTCACATCTCTTTCAAAGACTTCCAGTATTCTTCCACACAGGTTTCTTCACGGATGTTCCTTGATATCTCCCATTTTGTCTTGATGGTTGACGTGAAGATTTCCTTTGTAGTTTTGTCCTGCAGTTTCCGAGTGTTGAACTTGAACTGTGATCTATCACCAACCTCCTTGAAGGCTTTCAATTTGATTTGGAAGGTTGCTTGCAGTAGATAGTGGTCTGAGCCTACATCTGCCCCTCTTCTTGACCTTGTGTCAAGTAGGCTGGCTGCGTCTCCACTTTCTTCACATTCAGACGAAGTGGATTTGATTTTTAGTGTTGTGTGTCCTGGTGTCTGGTGAAATCCATGTCACCCGCTTTGTGGATATCTTTGTGCTTGAACACACTGCCTCCAATCACCAAATCGTTGAATGCACAGAATTCTGCAAACAATTCTCCATTCTCGTTCATCACCTCACCGAGTGCTTTTCGACCCATGGTTAGTTCTCTTCCTGTGCTGTCCACTCCCCGTTTGGCATTTATGTCACCCCACCCATTAGAATTTTGATGTCGCCAACTGAGGTCTTGTTCAGTACTGATTTCAGTTTTCCGTAGAATTCCTCCTTCTTCTCTTCATTTGCATTATTTATACGTGCGTAGCCCAGCATTGTACGATTGTGACTTTCCTTCCTTTTGAGTTGAACCTTCTTGTTATGATCCTGACCATGGAGGAGATTGGTTCCCACTGCATGAGAGTGAGCCTTCGATGCTCTACAAGGGGACATCATGATAGCCACTCCAGAACTCAGTGTGCTCGTGGTTGTTGTCTGGGTGACAATATCGGAGTAGATTATTGACTCGTTTCCAGTTGACAGTTTGCAGAGTCCACTTCCATTCCACCTGCTTTCGCAGATTCCGAGCACTTCCATGTCTTACCTCCTCATCTATTTTGCAATCTGGGCAGCCTTGTTAGGTTCATACATGTTGCGGACATTCCATGTCCCCACGTTTACTTTCGCTTTCATCGAGAGAAGAAAAGACACATCGGCCAATTGGCTTCTCAAAGGCTGTCACCAACCGGCGTCATTTCGTCTCTCCGATTCCAGCGAGGAATAATTTTTTTTTGTTTTTTATATTTTGTTTGTGTTTTGAAGTTTCTTTAGCGGTTGGATTTGTTTTACGGGGTAGGGTTGCTAGCCGTATGCCCAACCTTCCCTCTTTACCCGAGCTTAGGATCGGCTAGTATCTAGTGAACTAGTTAACCAGGCGAGGTTGTATAGTAAGGAAGCTCCTTTGTATTCAACTTATAACAAAATAATGCAGATAAGTGTGGTATCAGTTGTTTGTACTAAGCTATAAGCCAGCCATACTTGTTGTATTACGATTACCCAAGTTGAAATAAATGATGGAAGGATTCGAACCGTGGACCTATTTCTTAAAAATTGAAACTGATGGCCTACATTAAAATTTTGTTAATTTAGATGAGTCTTATATTTTTATCTTTCAGAAAGTATTTACGGATACTTTTTCGCACTGATTTCTTATAAGATTGTTATTGTTATCATTATTATTATTATTATTATTATTATTATTATTATCATTATCATTATTATTATCATTATTATTATTATCTAATCCTTAATAGTTGTACTTATACTCGATTGTGGGCTTTCGTTCTTTGGGGCATTGTATAGGTAAGTGAAAAGTATTTTTACATAAATGTTTTTCTATTCCACCCTCTCGCGCTGTTTTTTTTTATCGGGATGTACTATTGTGCTGAGATGGCGATTACCTACTCCCTTCAAAATGTTCGCCTTCACTTTATAAACGATTTTGGCAGAAGACTGTTGCAGAGCACAATGACCAAAGATGATAACTAAATGCTCAAGAATCGAGCTGTTGAGGATTTTACAATCTCTTTTAGACTACCATGCAGGAGATGCTTTTGGATAGAACATGCTTTGTGCGACCTATATAATCAGCTCTATAAGAGCAAGGGAATCGGTAAACACATATGAAGGTGACCTAAAAGAGGTAGTTTATCCTTTACACACCCTCGAATCAGTTGTTGACTGGAGAAAATAATCGGAAGGTGTGCAGAAAAGAATATCTTCTTCAGTACTTTGGACAATCGATTCTTCAATATCTCTCTTGAATCGAATATTCATAAGTACTGTTCTCTTTGAAACTGTAGGGGTCCCTTCTTGGGAATGCTTAAACTGCCTGTTCCTCTGAATGATTCTTGAAGGACAGCCATTCTCGATTAAAACTCTTTCAAGTATTTCCAGCTTCTTATTTACTTCATCATCCGTACAAATTCTAGTTTTGAAATGAGTATATGCTGACCATTCCAGATTTGTTTTCTGTAAATCGATCTCCATAGAGAATCATCATGTCTTCTTCTCAATAGGAACATCCAAGAAGTAAAATTCTGAGTTATTTTCAGTTTCCATCGTAAATTTAATTGATTTGTAACATTTACTTGATAATTGTTTCTAATAATAACAAGGATGAATGAAATTTGTATTATGATACGATCGTGGAATAGTACCGTAATGCCAATAACAAATTACTTCATGATAGTTCAATCTCTGTCTAACTGTTCCTAGTCCCAACAGTATAGAAAACGATTACTGGATTAAATAGTGTCTGAACTGAATTCCTAGTCAATTGGGACGAGATTTATAGATGAAACGCAGATTAACCAGTATAGAGAGATCGATGTATAGGGGGGAGGGACTGGTGCAATAAATAAATATAGACAATAATCACTATCTATAATAATGATGGGTAGTGGGTAGCAGTGGAATCCAGGATACGCATTTCGTCCTATTTGGGATTCATTGGTCAGCTGGATGCACCTGCTTCCCAGTGAGTGATGTGATTCCCCACCGGGATTCAAACTCGGGAGCGATCGCTTCAATCACCAGAGCGTTACCCACTAGACCACCGAGCCATTTCTTGTACGATGGGTATAGTTTTTAGTATCAATGCTTGTATTATATCGTCGTTAATTGGACCGAATTGATCAGTCTCTGTTGGCATATAGGCTCCTGTGCGAATACCTCGATATTGCGTGTGTTTTAATTATTTGTAGAAGTAATGAGTGATGGCTAGTAGTGGAATCCAGGATGCGCATTTCGTCCTATTGGGGACTCACTGGTCAGCTGGATGTACCTGCCTTCCAGTGGGTGTAATACAAGCAATAACACTAAAATAACCACTATCTCCAAAACAATAAGAACGCGTAAATTTTCTGAACCATGTGTAATAGTATTACTGTGCAACATATTTCGAACAATCTGATTACACATATACTTGTCAGAAGTGTTGGTATGAAAGTTTATAATTAAAGAAAATAGGAGTGACATTGAAGGCCGCCCCAATCACGTTTCTCTATTCTATGAAAAACGGTCTTCTCAGACAAAATACCATAGCCTGATTGGTTATTTTGTCAATTGTATTGGTGGCCTGTAAAATTGCCCGAGAAAGGGGTGAGGATGGGAAAAGAGGTCAAGTAGATAGACTGAATTAAAGGCCAAATAACAATAATAGTATATGGAACTCGATTTCATAGTTGAATTCACCAAGGGAGACTTAAAAGTGATAAAAAATTGTATTTTGAAATGAATGATTTTAATTTTTAGGTATTCATCATAGACTGACATCAGTTGGAGAACCATTAAAAACTTGGGAGAAGTGGACAGCTGTTTCGTCCTGGTGTGGGACTCCTCAGCAGTACGCACCTGAGACTCGGCTAGAGTTCGAACCCACGACCTTCAAGTTTCATGGTGAACGTGTTAATCAACTTTTGTCAATTCGCGAAAGAGTGCAACTATTATCCCATAGGTCACGACTTCTCATTAGAACTTCAGGCTATCTTCGAACACATGAAGGTGAATTAGGCTTCTTAATAGCTAAGACTTCGACAAATTCAAGGATTGGTCCACAATATGTTCTGTAAATATGTATAGAAGATGTAGCAACGGTAATCCTGTGACCATTCTCAACGAGATATTTCAGGATCGAAGAAATAGGAAGTCTGTTACCAATGTTTATGGGTTCAAGTGATTCAATTTATTTCCAATGCCACTTTGGAATATGCTCCGAGGCCCTTATTTGCATGAACCTATGAGTCCTCTTTATATATGCGTCACCACATGTAGATTTGAATTGATAGATGCGATGGGATGTGACACTGTCGTTCACATCCTGTAAGGGTTTGGAAGAATATACAGGCTTGATGGTTTATATTGATCATTCTAACAGCAGCTTTTTGACTCTACTTTAAGGATCTCCCTATGAAAATCACCCTTATATGAATGACTGATGAAGCCTCGATAGGCGTTTCTTCCTGTTACAGAACTTCCCAGCAGGGAGCACCCATGATCCCGCCTTCTAGGAATCGAACCCAGAACCTTCAGGTTCCATGGGACAAGCCACTGGGTTCATGATATAGCAGTTACCTCCATTCAATGACATCATTGAGTAATTGTTCTAATATCCGACTTAGTTGACCTAACTTAATCATCACTTCTCATTAGAACTTTGGGAAATCTCATCTTAAAGCAAGTCACTCATGAAACCTAAAGTAATAAAATGCAATTAACCTGATAGCTGGATAAATTCTCTTCAAGACAACATTTATTCTGTAGTTAAATTCCTCCCAAAACAACTTTAATTCGGTTAATTCTATTCATTCAGTTCATGTGAATTTAGCTACTCAACATCATTATATCATCACTATTATTATTTATCCCTTGGGTTCCTAGTGGCATACAGGGCTTCACTAGTACGTCTCCATTTCACTCTCTTCTCTACAGTCCTCCTAACCTGATTCTACGACTGCCCACCACCTTCTATTTCTTCCTCACACCATCTCCTCCATGTCACCCTTGGACGCCCAACTCGTTATTTCCTCTTTGGGTTTCACTCGACAGCTTGGCCTGGCCTGCTGTGTGATATCTCCAAACGGTGTTCTTAGTGTATGCCCAATCCATCTCCACTTCCTTCTGCATATTTGTTGAGCTATAGACTCTTGCCTCGTTGGTTCGTTGCCAGTCAGCCAGCCAGAGTTCCTTGTTGCTTATTCTTATTATTCTGGCCATCTGAGCTTCAGTAACGAGCCAGAGTAGGTGGCAGTTGTTAATGAATATCTGTAGTTTGTTGGAAATGCTTTTCTTAACGCGCCAAGTCTCTCAACCATCACATAGAAACACTGACTTGACGTTGTTGTTTAAAATTCGGATGTTGTTCACGCTTTATGCTGAGTGCAGTGTAATGGAGTGCAATAGATCTCCACACTGATTTCAGATTAGTGGAGGAAGGCGTGTCTTGCTGTCTTTCCGATCCTGGCTGGCTTTCACATCTTCATCTGTGCCTGTGCCGCCACCTGTAGTTGAATCAATGCTATCTCCGAGGTAGGTAGGTAGATGGAAGAGACAACTTCGTACAGATTTCTCCCACTGATGGTGATTGGTGTTTGTTGTTGTTGGTTGGGTATCTTCATCACCGCTGTCTTCTCTACGTTCACCTGAAGGAAGTCCCGTCTTCGCTGCCCTTGTTAGTTTTCAGCTGTATATCTTCGAGCTAGTGGGACGTTGGACATAAATTTGGACATTGTAATAAATTGTAATTCCAATTTAGTATGTTTATTAGAAATGTCACACAGTGAAGCGACCGTATCATTTTTACTGGTTAATGACGTTTCGGAAACAATTTATTGTCCATAGATACATCAGATGACTTCATGGTCAATCAGAGTACAAAAACTGAATCTAAATTAACAGATCCTTATAAGATATGGAATTAAGTGAAAAGCTCCACAATAGCTCTGCACGTAATCACATAACAGGATGGGATGGAGCGACAGTATTAAAAACCAACCTAGTTGGGTGGGTGGAGGGAGAGATTGATAACCGATTCTTCGTTCATCCAATCAACATCAAATACATGCAGTAATAGAAATGATCCTGCACCTGTTCCAGACATATATGGAAAATTCTACTACCCTTGTCATTAAGGAGCAGAGACGATGAGAAGTCTATAAATCATGTCTCAAAGTTGTGAAGTTATCTTGCTATAAATATGGACAAGAAATTGTGTCCGAAACGTTATCCAGTAAATGGTACTGTTGCTTCACTCTGTGACCTTTCTAATAAACAGACTAAAATGGAAGTAAGAATATAGTTGCATATAACTTAGTCAAACAGAACTCCTTGAATTATGCAAATGCCATGTCTATCCGAACTGCTAAAAATCATTATAATCCCACTAATGTAACTGGACAAATTTACCTCTCATAGCTATGATGACTGGTATATTCAAAGCTAGTAAGAGTAAGAGCCAAAACCAATCAATTTTGAGTATCCTTAATGTGTTTTTCTTTGTTCTCACTTTTTGATATTCTGATAAGATCGCCTACGCTTTAAGGCTATATATTTTACTAAAAGCAAATAATTATGCATTTTGAATATAGGGTTTAATGGGGATTTATTGATTTCAGGTTGGTATACATCATAGATTGAGATTAGTTGGAGAAACATTGGAAATCTAGGAGCACTAGACAGCTGTTTCGTCCTAGTATGGAACTCCTTAATAACGCGCACCCATGATCCTGCCCTCCATGGATCTAATGTGGGAACTTCAGGTTCCGTTACCAGTACGTTACCATTCAGCCACTGGGTCAAAATCCAATGCCATCGTTGAGTAACTGTCCTCATGTTTCAGTCAAACATTTTGAGGTTTGTAAGGATTTATTGATTTCAGGTTGGTATTCATCAACCAACAAAGTCGAACATGAGGATATTGAATGGATATCGCGCTAAATCATAACCTGACATAAGTAGGAAATATGGATCACTGGATTCCCATACAGTGGGTAAATGTTGTAATTTTGTTCTTTACGTGTGGGACGATAAGTCGATGATATTTAAAGAATATACAAGAGTATAACATATGATTAATTACAACAAGTAAAACAGGAGTGATTTGATGTAATGTATACGCTGGGAAGTCATTGCTTAGCTCAACGTTATAAGCAGACCACCAATCAAATAGAAGATAAAAGGGTCACAAATGATTTCATGATGAAAACTACACTGGAATCAATCGATCGCCACATAAAAAGGCCCCCACTGATAGCTTAAGTTTCAGACAATAGTCAACACTACAAAGTCCTCTTTGCCAACAACTAATTAAAACATTCCCAGTTAAACTTCAGGCCTAATTATATCTAAGAGTAAATAGTATGCAAAAAACAAAGAGGTAAACAAGTAACCAACAGTTATTCTGATTATTCAACTAACTCGTATACTCTTGAATATATGCAGTAGTATTAAGCATAGAGGTGAATTACAACTTGTCTTAGAGAAATATGCTAAAGGTTAAACTCACCTCAGATGAATATTCATCTCTGATTGGTTTATCCATAGAAGTATACTCCTAGGAAGAAGAGAAGTGAGCGGGGGGTGGAAATTACACAAAATAAACATGGTGAAATAATTCAACTCAACATAAGTATACACACCACAAACATATAAGAGTCTATTGTTGAACAAGACAAATACTGTGTGATTACGTCATTCAGCCAAGTAATGCTAAAAACTGAAATCAAGAATGGAGAGTGATTGTGTAATAATTTTGTAGACAATGAAAATAATGAGAAAGGTAAGGAGTTTGATGTGATGATGATGATGAGGTAACAATTGTTGGTAGATGTGGAATGAGAAGGTTGAATGTCCACCTGAGAGTTATAAGGAAGGTGAAGACAGACAGAAATGAGGGTGATAGTAGTAGACTAACTCACTATAATGAAATTGAAAAGTGTGTGAGTGTTAAGATGAGAGTGATAATATGGGAGACTGGAAGCAGAGATTAAGCTTGAATTGATGAATTGTCAGTGCTTCGTCTGTGTACAACTGTCGAAGGTGTACGTACTTCTTTTGAACTATTCCATTTCACTCTATAAATGACTTAAGAAGAGGACTCTGGTTGAGCTATATGTCCAGAGTTGACTAAATATTCAAGAATTGAAATTTTTTCTGGGTAAACTTGTGAAAGAAAAAGAAAGTGGAGTAGTATAGGCACTTCGGTTGTAGAAGTTATCAAATGAATTACGGAAACAGTGAAGACTTCCAGATACCTGTATATGTGACAACTGTTGTGTTTTTTTTGTCTTGAATAAACATAGTATAAATGATGATTTAGGTAGGCGCCAAATCGAAATATATAGTATATAGCTAATGATCGCTTTAAAGTAGATATAATTTGTTCAGATGTTCAGAGGTGTTATTCCTGTCTCACTTCTGTTTAATTTCTCATAAATCACATTTTGCTTCACTTCTTTTTATGCTAAACAATATCAGCATATGACATGAATTGTTCAACCTCTGTTGACTGATGGAATCCTATGTAGAAATGTCTCGATACCGCTAGATGATGTTTTGGATTTTAAAGTGATGAGTCGTCGGTTTAAGTCCTAGTGGGAACAACACTTACTAGGGTGGATGTACATTCAGTTGACTAGTGAGTCTTAAATAGGATGATACTAAGATTCTACTCCTTGTCACGATTTTCTCCATTGTTTATTTCATTAACCTATGTCATTACATTCTGGCATACTTCCCGTTCTCCTTGAGAATAATTTTTTTGTTTGTTAATTTTTTTTTCCATTATCTTTCTAGGTTTGCTAATACCATTGGGTTTATTTGTTAACGGTCCGTATGGTTTGATTACAACAGCAGTTTCAGCTGATTTGGGTACTCATCCTTCATTGTCTTCAAACTCTCGTGCATTGGCCACTGTAACAGGTATCATCGATGGAACAGGTTCAGTTGGTAAGAAGATGCCTCTGAGTTGATTTCGTAACATATCAATTCTTTTTAAAATCAGTTTCATTCTTATAGTAAACCTATAAATATGGTTGTATCCGAGGATAGTTGGAAAACGGATGGCTGTCGAAACACTTAGTTCTACTCTAAAAGTATCCTTTCAATATAAGTAGATGATACGTTTATAGTGTTGAAATCGGAGCACATACAGATAAATTGAGTAGTCAACTGTATCCAATTCACCTATGAAATAGTGAAGGAGAATTAGCGATGTTGGATTGCTGAATAAAAGAGAAACAAGATGGGAGTTTAGATGGACTAGTGTGTACAGAAAACCTTCACATTCAAATCGTTACTTATAGTTCAAATCGTCTCACGGTATATCAGTTAAAGTTGATTCAGTAAAGTGTCTAAGTAACACGGCCAAAAAACTTACTAGTAAAACAGAAGATGAAAGAAAAAGGAACTGGATACATTAAAGACACGTTACTCATCAAGAATTACCCTCCCAAGTTAATTGATAAGTTCCTTAGGAATTGTAAGAAAACTGTAAGTAATATTAGTAACACAGGTGTTAATAGTAGTAATAGTAGTTAGTGGCAATACTGTGAATAGAGAATTCAAAACGTGTACAGTATTACAATAGAAAGAAGGTACTTCAGAGACATTACGCAGGATTCTCAATGAGGCTAGCTGAGATTAGAGTTGAATTTACACCAACAAACTGACTTAGAAATAAGCGTTGTAGGTTAAAAGATCCTACTGATGCAGTTAGTCAGAATCCCTTGAAACGATTGCAAGGTCAAAGTAGTGGAGCAGTCAGGATCAATTAAGCTGTCCGAAAACAAAAACCTATCTGGGTCCAAATTGTTAGATGCTAGTGAGGTAAGTAATTTAGAAAAAAGCTCAATCCCCCACAATAGGATGGGACAGGGTTACAATCCTTCAAACTAACTTAGTGGTGTGAATGAAGAGATTGATAACTGAATCTTTGTTTATCGAATGAACAAGCGACAGGAATGTCTCAGCATCTGTTCCGGATATATGGAAAATAGTACTACTCATATCACAAAAGAGACAAAATCAGGACTATAAAAAGTTTTATACTGGGTAGTGATTGAAGGTGAAATGAAGATTTGGACCGCGGCCGGATTCAATCCAGCGACCACTGGGTTTCGGATCCGATACTCTACCAACTGAGCTACGAGGTCCGTGGTAGTGCATCGGGCTAGAAACCCGGTTGTCGCTGGTTAGAATCCGGCCACGGTCCAAATTTTCATTTCACCTTCAATCATCACCCAGTATAAATACTAGTCTGCCAAAGCACGGCTATCTCAGATAGTCAAATGATATATAAAGGTTATCTCAAAGTTGTGTGGTTACCTTGATATGATATGATCCGACTGACAGCTTCTACCTTAACTCGGTGGTCGGGTTTATATATCGCAATGACCCAACGAGGTACGCTATTGGAACGTTTGTTCCCCCGAGGTCCTCCGATACCAGTAAGGTTTGTTGATTAGTGGTTAGATAAAAAGCAGTTACCTCTAACATATTCTTAAACACTGAGATGATGGATTATGGTGGCCTGAATCAGTCATCAGTGGTTAGTGGTAATCGAAAGCCATTGGACGTATGTCCAAATGAATCTCCCATACTACAGGCTTGTAAAAGGTCGTACGAGACCGGCCTCACTCAGATGTCCTATGAGCTCTGCGGTCACACAAATCTTTTTCTCCTTAAGATAACTCAAGAAAAAATAACCTTTCTCAGTGTGGTCACCTGGGAAGTGTCAACCGCCTGCACGCTTCCAGTAGTACACAAGACCCAATCAAACATAATAATCTATCTTCTTCAACTCTGTTTTCCCCTTTACCTTCGCCTCCTGATACTAATATTAAGCTGATAACGCCTTACCCAACCGCTCACTCTGCAACTAATACTAACGATCTAAGCCATTGAAACCTCATACCTAGTGTCCTAAGACTCCGACATCGATTTCATGTAGTAGCTTTCAAAGTCCCAACTCTATGCCAAATTGGACAGCAAGCATCATATGGCAAAACTCTGGAATCTCTAGCCATGGATGTATATTGTATCTGTGAGACACACTTATACAGGACCCGGATGTGGTTTTTAAATTGATCTCACCTGTTCATAGCAGTGAATTTTTACAATTTACTTTCAGGGTTTCAGGAGATGTAATGGCCAGCTTTCGTGAACTCACTGGTGTGTAGACATAGAATTTAGTTGTATAGCAGAAAGTGCTGTCCTTGACTTGTTACCATCTTGATATGACTATGAGGAGAATAAATTGTGTCTAACATGTAAGCAGTCAGTAAATAATACTGTTCCTTCAGTGTGTACTGCATCTAATAAATCAACTGAAATGGAGTTACATTCTACCACTGGGCCTTCAGTGATTTAACCGTTTGATAGTTGGGATACTTCAAAATTTCAAGACATGATTTAACAAATTCTATATCGTATTTATTGATAAACTAAAATGTCAATTTTGGTATTATTGATGGTTAATAGCTGTCAGTGGAATCCAGGACGCGCGCTTCGATCTCTTTAGGACTCGTCAGCTGGGTGTACATGCTTCCAGTAAGCGATATTGTCCAAACTAAGACTCAAACCTGAGACCGGTCACTTCAAATGCCAGTCTACCAAGTGACGATAGGCACTTCTTGTGCAATCGGTATAGTTTCAGATAATGTTGCTTGGATTATCCAATGGTTTCTTTTTTAGAGTAATACAGTTTCTCAGTTAGAAGACGTTGTCAACACGCTCATCCACTTGAAATCGATGACAATGACACAGGCGTATTCACTCCTTGACATCTTCTAAAGCTTGAATATTTGCACTAACCGTTATCGTCAGATTGTTTATTCTTTCACACAACTTTGTCTACTCTGATATCAATCTCTTTTTCTATCTATCTATTCTTTGTGCCACTACTGTAAAGTGTGACAGGTTGAATCGATGCAGTTGTGTGCGAAGTTCTACGTTGATTCTGTCTGTCTGTCTACCACTCAGAGTGTAGGAGATTAACTAGTTGACTGAGTCGTATAATATTTTTAAATGATACGATTCCAAACATTATGTATAGCCTGGTGCAAAGTTTAGCGATAACCTTTACGTGATTATGTTAAATTGTAATTTGATTAACATATTTATTTACTACTAGAATAAGCTTTGAAAAGAGGTTAATTCGGTTATGCGGGTAAAGTTTTGCTGATTATTCGTAAGCGTTATTGTTGTTCGACAAGTGAACGCTCACACACACAAACACATTTGACCTACTTGGTGATGATTGAAGGTGAAATGAAAGTATGGACGGTGGCATGATTCGAACGAGCGACTACTGTAATCTGTTGGGGAATAAGTAAACGCATCTAGTTAAAGTTTGGACATATCTGTTTATGTTGATTGTATCACTTACGTCAATCGAATCTGTGTCATTATTGATAAAATTAGCACCATTGTAGTTGTGCATGTGTGTGTATATCAGTCTTATTGTAGTAGGTGCTACTGATATGAATATATGTAAGTAGTATATGTTGAGAGGTTGGAAGAAGTCATAGGCAATTATGATCGATGGATAGATATTCTGCCTAGAGAAGCGCGAAAGAGGACGTGGTCGTACCAATAGTAAGACGAGATGGAAGAAGAAGAAATTAAACATATGGTGCACATTGATATTTCCAGTTGTTTACACTTAATGACTCCACCGCAGCTATTGCTGAACCCATCACCAGCTCACTAATATTTATGGATTGGACTGCGTTCACTCATCGTAGCTGCTGGGCGATGGCATTTGGGATACTTTTGCCGAATTGTACAATCAGCAACTGTGCCTAGATGTCCTCATGCAGAGTAGAAAGTGCTCGGCGAAGGAGAGTTGTCAACTTTACAGCCAATACCAGCTGTTCAAGTTTCGTGCTTTAGAATTGCTGCATCTCCGGCTAACTGTCTGTTTCTCTGTCAAACTCTGCCTTCAGTAATTCACTGTCTCCCAACTTTCCTTCCTATCCACGCCGTCATACGCCGCTTCTGCTTGACCTCTCAGTAACGTGCCAAGCACCACAACCTGCGCTCCTGGATTCCGGACACCCACCAACTCCACGACAGACCCAAAATCCCTGAGGAAGACCTTGATATATCCGAAATCCTAGTACATATAATAATGATAATTTTCTACCTAGTGAATATAAACTTCGTTATTTCCTTCACATTTGACTATTTGTTATCTAAAAGCCTATTCAGTGTGTCACTCAACTTTGCATCGGGTTGACAGTTTTTGGAACAGAATCGATGCAATAGATGGATAGGCAGGCAATAAATAAGTCGAACACAAATGTTATCTGTCTTTTGGTAGTCGTCTAGTTTTGCAGTGTTATTATTCTCTTAATTATCTGCTGATGTGACTTTCTGAAACATCTTTGTTGAGTGGTAACTCAGTCACTTTTGAAGTGACCGAGTGAACAATAATAAAGTATGCAATCCGGATTTTCAACACCAACGTCAAGTCAGTGCTTCTGTATGGTTCAGAGACTTGGCGCGTTACGAAAGGGATTTCCAACAAACTACAGACATTCATCAACAACTGCCTACACTCACTCATTACTGAGGCTCAGATGGATGGCCAGAATAATGAGAATAAGCAACAAGGAACTCTGGCTGGCAGGCTGGCAGGCTGGCAACGAACCAACGAATCAAGAAACTATCACTCAACAAAAATGCACTGGAAGGGAGTGTAAATGGATTGAATTGGCATACACTGAGAAGGCCGACTGGGAACATCACGCGCCACACCAGGCACTCGAGTGGAACGCAGATGGGAAGCGACGAGTTGGGTGTCCGAGGCTAGGGTGACATGGAGGAGATCGTGCTAGGAGGAAATGAGAGTTTGTGGGCTGTCGTGGAGCCAGGTTGAAAAGATTTCAGAGAAGAGAGTGGAATGGAGACGTGCTACTGAATCCGTATGTTCCATTAGGAACCCA